CTTGTTGTTTGTATAGATCAAGTCCTTTTGCGCCTTCGAAGATCAACTGCATTTACATATATATGTTATACATAATTAGGTTACGAAAAAAAGAAAATCTAATTAACTTTTGATATGTGTTATATATACCTTGGTGATGAGGATCTGCGCACCAGCGTATTTGAGATCCCAGCTGAATTCAGCGACGTAAGCGCTTATGGCTTCGAATTTGAGGTAGCTAAGGTACAAATCATTCCTTGTCGCCTTGTATAGCCATGTTGCCGCCCATATCAACTCGTCCTTCACAATATTATTTGTAGAAAATTAATATCAATTACAATTACAATATGAACAAAGACAACAAAAATCGATATTTGGAGGAAAAAAATGATTGAGAAGTTAGAGATGAGATTTACATTGTAACCGGAGTTAGAACAATAGAAGGGGCATTCTCCATCGTATGTACCCTTGTGGCTTTTGGCTAGCTTGAAAAGCTGAAATTGAGATTTTGATCAAATCTTTAGTTCTTTTATTGATTAAAGGAACTCAACAAAAATATATCATATTTTCTACCAAAATCAACAAAATAGTCTTTATCTTAAAAATTAACAAAAGAGTTTAAAACAATAAAGTACTTATGTATAAAAAATGCATAAATCAATAAGCATACCAATTTGGCTTTGTTGAGAAGCCGGCGTGCATATTTGTGGTCAACATGGCGAAAAACGATGGAGGAAGCGGCGAATGCAGCAGCGGCTTCCGCAGCGATCTCGGTTCCTGGAACTTTATCGCTTATCTCCAACACCGTCCTTGGCGTCTTCATGTTCTCGGGTCTCGCCCAGCACTGGTGGTCCGCGTTTGGATCACCAACCTATTTGATCATATTCATAGTCACAACCATTTCAATTAATAAAATTGTACGTTCATCTTTCTAGCATAACGTAATTGCAAAACACAAATTTGATTATCCGTTTAAAACCTGAACATAGAGGCGGTTCTTGCGAGAAGCACATTTGAGGAAATAATCTGTACCCCAACGGATAGCAGCACGAGCGTTTTCGAGCTCTCCCGTGGCTCGGAGTTCTTTCTCGTAGGTAATGGTAGACCAAGCAAGCGTTGTGATCGTAAAGGCCATTGGAAGACCATACTTTACATTGTCTCCTGCGTCATAGTAACCTCCCGACAAATCCACCTATACATAAATAATTATCTCATTATTTCTTGTAACCTTAAATCTGATTTCTGTATAGACATGATTTGTTCGAGGTAAAAATATAATCCAAACTTACATTTACGAGTTTGCCATCATCGAGAGCAGAGTCACCTCTCCATGGAACCCTATTGTTAGGAGGGAGTTTGCCTGATCTTTGAGCCTCCAAGAAGATGAGGGATTTGGTTAAAGCATCTTTGTAGTTTATGAAAGTACCATTGACACACACAATGCTTATGATTCCATAGAGACCCAATAATATGGCCCTAATCAAAACATTTCCTCTTCCTTTATCCCCATAATTACCCATAATTTCAAATGTAATGTTTGTAATAAAAATGCCAACTCTTATATAAGAAGTGGAAACAAAGAAAAGGAAACTGAATCTTTTTTTTTTCTCTGTATTTTTTTGTGAAGTTCTGTTTGTTTTTTGTTTCAACAAAAAACGAAAAACAATTGCATGCTTTTCGTTTTTTCTTGTTTTTTTAATTGTTTTATTGTTTTTATTTTTTCTACTTCTCCCTCCGGTTTTATATATTTTTAAGTTGGCGGGAACGATTAAGGGAAACTTATAATAGAAATTTTCTTAGAAGGTTAAGTTTAGGTTTACTAATCTTGACTTAGAGATTCACATTCATCGGTCACTAGTTTTTTCTGTCTTATTTTTGTTCTTGTTTTTTTTCTAATTTTTAAGATACTAAATAAAGGTGATTGGATTCTTCGAATTTTCGATTGATTTAGATCATACATTGTTCCTTTTCGGATGGTTAGACGTAATTTAGTCTATCGTTGGGAATAAAAAGATTTTAAAGAAAAATAAGAGGACATGAATAAATTTCAAACGGTAGTACAACTACAACGTCCGTGGCCAAAGGTCAACCTAATTATTGAAACCTTGGTTGTGACAAATATCATAAGATCTATATGGACAAAGTTGATGTAGAAATTCTTATTATATTGGCCAAAAACGTTTCTGCCGTTATTTCAGAGTAGTGAATGATACATTTTCTGAGTATTCAATAAACATACAGTAGGCCCAATTTTACACAGAATCATGCTCAATAAACGACTGGTGATTAGTGATAATTCAATTCGCCTTAGTCCTTTGAGGTCAATGTATTAACCAGAAATACCGGACTTCTCGTAGTTCACGTTACATCAAGTCCTAAAGTGAATAAGAAAGATACATTTCACGTTTACCTCATGAAATGGGAAGAAACGCTTAGCACTGAATACATTGGAAGTTCGAATATAAGGCAGCGACTAGACTCGATAAGAATTTCAATTTATACATTCTAACACCTCCATGATTCTTATCTTCCTCCACTTAAGTTCATTATACTCGTGCAGCTGGAACTTAAGTTTAGACTGTTGTTTGGTTTATTTGAGTTATGAGGTTGAAGAAAGACTCTAAGCAAAGGTCTTCTAAAATATGAGAAGTGTCTAAATATTTCATAAAGTTTTATATTTAGTATAATAATATAATAATATAAGTTAGCTTTGGTATCTTGATCTCTGATTAACTTCATCTTTTGAATCTTGAGCTCATTTTTTTTTGTAACACTATCATATGATGGATAGACTGCCGAAGTTGTAAAATCCTTGATGTTGGTTTTTCTTTTACATTTTCGATGTTTCATGTTTATTTGTGTTTTATCAAAAAAAAAAAAATAGTTTGATTTGTGAGTAAGGATGAGATCGAGAGGTTCAATTAGGCTGTGAGCTCAATGTGTTAACGGGGAAAGCTATTTTTGGTTAGTTTAAGAGACAAGGCTGAAAAAAGACTAACCGCAAAAGATCTTCTTAAAGGAAAACAAAGTAGAGAAGAGTATCTAGCTTCTCTCTGATTATTTTAATCTATTGGTTCTGTTTATTTTCTTGAGCTCTGTTCTTCTTGTATGAGCTACATGTAATAATGTTTCCATATAGTGGATATTGTTGGATTAATCTAATTCATACTGATCGAGTCGAACTCGTAAAAACGTTGGTGTATTTTTTTTCTTTTCATGCTTTCACATTTTATTTTTTTCTTATTCATTTGTGTTTCATGATGAAACTTTCATCAATCGTCTGATATATTTTTTTTTTTGTGAGGAATGCTGAGATAGTGAGGTTCAATTAGGTTGTGCAGATGACCTTGGCCCCAACAGCATACCAACTAAACAAGCAGGCCCGTCTCTACCCATAGGCAATATAGGCTACTCATTTTCAAATTTTTCTTTAAGTAAAAAAGCCCTTGCTTTTTTGAAAAAAAAAATTTAGTAAGAATTTTTTTATTTTTTTTTAGTTTTGCTAAGGGCCCCCTCTAATTAATTAAGACGGGACTGTAAACAAGCGGATCAAATTACTGAAAAAAAATTCAGGTACTATTATGAAAAATTGGCAAATATAACCAACAAAAAACTGTAATTAAGAAACTAGTCTAAACAAAAAAAATTTAGTGATATAGTGTGTAATATGTGTATTAATGACAAAACTACCCTGCAAAAAACTAAATCCAATTTCATCTCCTCCTTCTTCGTCTATCTCTCCTGTTTCGTAGTATCTTCCTCTCTTCGTCGATGCTCCATCACCAAATCCATCTCTGATCGTTTTTTGTTCTGGATCTCGCCCTTATCCATCGCTGGTCGTTTTTGGCAACTACCGACTTTTCTCAACTATATTTCTCTATCTCCTCCCACGAATCGCTTCTCTTGTCACTGAATCTGCCTTTGATTGCCAACCCGACGCTGCAACAGAGATCCAAATTTTTGCCAACGCATCTCCATCTCGAATTCACTATCGCCAATCTCTCTCCGACTCCTTGACGTCCACTCATGTCTCTCCTCCCCACTCTCGTTAGGGTTTAATCACAAAAGAATTAAATTTGATTTTGTAAAAATGATTTCCAATTCAGGAAAAACATTGATATAGGATATACAAGCATGATAGTCAACAGATTTGTTTCTCTGGAAACTCAAAAGCCACAACAGCAACATCAAAAGCAAGATGTGTAATTTCTATACTACTTGTTTTTTTTTTTTAACATGGAATAGTATCGTAATAATGGGCAAAATGAGAAGAGATCTCACCCGTTGATTTCTTTCTTCTAAACACCAATACTGTCTTTTCCTTTACCCCTAGTGTTATTTTCTTAATTTTGATTTTTATGGTGCTATATTCTTAATTTATTTAGCAAATATGGTTATTCAGCTAAATCACCCTACTATTATCTCTTATTACTTATTTTATCGCTTTTAACTTTTTAAGTAATTCTACTTCTATTTTTGGGTGTGATTGATTAGTAACACTTGATCGCAGCAATAAGAAGCATATCACTTTGATATATGTTTAGCAATCACAAATACGATAAAATTAGTGGTGCAGAAAATAGTACCACCATCGTTTTCGTTATCTAATTTCTTCGTTACTATTTATCGTTCTTTTTCCGCAAAAAAATAAATATTTTTTATTGTTTTTTTAACCCCTTAGTTTGTGGAGCCACAAAATTTGAAATGTGGTGGACTTTCTAAGAAAAACACAAACGTTTTTTAGTGGGCCTTATAGATCCCATCCCGTAAATGGGCATAAGATTTGATGGGAAAACAAAAATGCTTAAATGATAGATAATGCATAATTGCATATATCAAGGAAGGAGTGACTTGGCTTAGGATAAGAGCTAATATATTTCAATTCTTATCTTGTTCTCTCTTTGTAATAATAATAAAGATTTTGATATATTTATTTTCCTTTATGGAGAATACAAGAAGAGCACATAGAAACGGAAACAGAAACTCAAATCTATAAGATCTCATATCTTCTATTTCTCTATGGATTGACAAAGATTTTTCACCATTTCTGTGAAAAATGTTTAGTGTCATTGACAAGATTGATCGGACTTTCACGGCGGATCAAGAATTTGCTTGCTTATCGTCGACATCGTCGTCTTTTGATTCGATCGGGAATAACAGTGACGACGATGAAGGTGGAGAGAATGAGGTTGAGTCTTCTTACAAAGGTCCTCTTGATATGATGGAGTCTCTTGAAGAAGCCTTGCCCATCAAGTAAGTAAAATTGTTTTTGTCTTATTGTTTCTAGGGTTAATGTCTGAACATGGAACACGTTTTATTGTCTGAATCTTGACTTCATTTTAGGAGAGGGATATCAAAGTTTTACAAAGGGAAGTCGAAGTCGTTCACGAGCTTATCGGAATCAGCATCTTTGCCGGTGAAGGATTTGACGAAACTGGAGAATCCTTATAGTCGCCGGCGGAGGAATCTTCTCAGTCATCGTATACGTAGTCGTGGTGGGATCTCGAAGAAACCGGTCAGGAGTGTTTTAGCGGTGGCCGTGATGGCGATGCGTCAAAGAGAAGGAGACTCTTCTTCTTCCTCCGGCGAGAATTCTCTTCCGACGCCGTATCATAAGAATCACCCGAGGCAGAGAAAAGGGTCTTTTGGTAATTGTGTTCCCGTTGTTGATTCGCCGCTGTGCTTTCAGACGGCGGTGGGTAGCAACATCCATAATATTATTTGCTAAATTTAATTACATCGATTTTTTGTTAGACCTTTTTTTATTTATTTTCTTTCTATTATTGAGGAATTGTTTTGGGAATTTTAGATTGATGTTACATCTCAAGCTTTAATTATATTAAGAAGAAAATTATTACTTTTGAATATATCACTTTTGTGTGTGAAAATTAATTCTTTTTGTTTTAGAGTTTCAACACTTTTATCTCTCTCTTTTTTTCCTATTCAAAATGGGTTTGAATTATTACCAAGTCATTTATAATAATATAATGTAGTCAACATAATTAAATCTAGAAGTGCTGCCAAAAGCGTTTGCTCAATCCCCGACAGTTACGATTTCTTACAAAATTTTCTCTAAACAAATGATTAATGATTATTATGTAGTCAACATAATAAAAAGTTTTTTTTTTTTATAAACAACATATAATTAAATGTAAAAAAAAACCTCAATCAGTAACGAAAACAGAACGGTTTACAATGTGTTATGGTTTATGATTAAAAAAAAAAAACTCAATCAGTAACAAAAAAACTCAATCAGTAACGGGAAAAACTCAATCAGCCATATATACTTCCTTTTTATGTTGGTTTTGGTTCTTAAGAATACTTTTATAGAGGGAAAAAAAATGAAACATACTCTTATATGTTAAGATACATAATAAGGAAATAATTGAAATGAATTTGGTTGTTAATCATAAATAAGAAAAAGAAAGAAAAAAAGGGTATAATTATAACTGTATCCCACATTTTAATTTAATTTTTATAATTTTTGGTCTGAATGCTTGATGCTTGACAATGTTTTCATCTTCTTTAATTAATAAATCTAAAAGTTTTTAACTGTCCAGTAGAATCACTTTGTGTTATGTTCTAAGCAGAAGCTTTTACATTTCAAGACAAAAGCGAGAAGGATGAGGATCACGAGAAGGCCACCAAAGGAGCCACAAAGCCTGTGAATCCAATAGGGATCAAACCTGGTCAAGCTCTGGTCACAGTACAGAGACAAGGCAATGGCCAGGATCAAGAATAGCAGAAGCAAGGAGAGGTTAAAGAAAAAGCTCAAGGGTTCGTCTTCAGGTTCTTGATCGTCTTCTGATGAACTATCTATGTAGAGCGGTGAGAGCACGGCTAGTACTGACAAGCTGATGGCCAAAAACTTCCTGGATAATGTAAACCTCGATCCTTCCATCAAGAATCGAGAGATCCTTGACTTCCAAAATCTTCTTGTTGTTTGTTGCTCAATACTTACAATTTTTACTCTGTATTTCTTGGGAAGGACGAGACTAAGTTTGCAAGAAATTGGCTGAGGGAATTGAACTGAGAACTCAGGTGTTTGGTTTGGGAGAAAAGCTTTGTGTGAATAGACCAGTTTGGTTCAAACACCAGATGTCTTGTAAATGAAGGATCAGAACCCAACATTAACATAACTATTCTTTGGAATCAGATGCTTCTTCACTTTTTGTTTCTTTTAACATTTTCAATTTGTTCTGTTTATTCTATAAGATTAATAAAGATGTAAAAACTCTTCTTCTTCTTTTTCTGGCCACTGCTTTTCATTTTTAGCATGTGCTAATGTATGATCTAAACAACGAACTTTGTCCGTCATTTCGTTCAATGATTCGAGCCAAAGTAACACTAAGGGTTATATTGTACAACATGCATATAACATTGATCCAAAGTCGTCACATCCCAAATGGTAAGATGATAAGATCAAATCATTGGAAACTTGCTTGATTCTATCTTTGCGAGGTCAGACTTTCTTCGTCGATCAATATTTTCAAAAACCTTAACCGATTCCATATTCGCCTGAGAAAGAAATAACATGAACCAATGAATTCTCCTGAAAATTCAAACGAATAGTTTCATTCATATTCTCATGTCACTTATAAACAAAGAAGAAACAGATAAGTACCACCATAGAAATGCATTTCAATTACTCAACAATAACATTTTCTCAATTACTCTGTTTAAGTTTAGTTGCATTCCAATTATTCACCAATAGAAACAACTTGGCTTATATATATTGAGTCAATGTACATTTCAATTATTTAGTTTATGTGTATAATTGCAAATACATTTCAAGTGTAGATACCTTTTAGACCAGTTATATAGTCAATTGGAGACTAAATCATCAAACTTGAAAGGTGCTAAGACACATATGTTAAAAACAAAACTTGCCATGGCACTTGGGATTTGACCATCGGTACCACCATTTGCTGATCACTACTACAACTGAAGCTGTTACACACATCACAACGCTCCATATGAAGTTCATTTTTATGTGCCTTTCTAATGTGAAGAGCTACTATACTTCAGATCTTTGGCGACTCCTAAATTGAGGAGAAGGGGTTGTACAACCAAGTCTATACAAGTAAAAAAGAAGTGAAAGAGAAAAATATCTCTCCAAAACAATTTTAGTGAAAAACTATATTGTTACATAAAATTTATCAATATATCTTATTAAAAACAGAATCCAATAAAGTAAATTAAATTAATAAGAACTAAAATTAACTTATTTATATTGAAATTATAAATATAATCTCCACTAAAATGATTTAACAGTGATATTGAAACATATGTTATTTAAAACAAATTTATTCAAAATCAAATCAAATAATTTCAGAGTTATTCAATTTATATTAAATAGCTTATAAAGCCAATTATTCTAACCAATAAAACCCTTATGAAGCCTATTTGATAAAAGAGGTTAATTACTAATAATTTAAGTTTAAATTAATTTTAATTACTATTAGTCAACCCGCATCCTCCTCATGCTCTTCTAGGTCAACCCTGCCAGCTGCTATATGGAAAGCTGCTAAATGGCTCTTCGGGTCACCTTTCCCATCGTAAGTCGGCAAATTGATTCGCGAGGTGAATGGAGTACGCCTCGTTTCTTCGATCACCATGTCGATATCAGGAGCCGAACTGGTGGCCTCATGGAACTTTAACTTTATTTCTCTTAGCTCACTGTGGACTTTCTCATAATCAGCTGAAGGTGCAAAAGGGATATGGTCACTCCCACCTCGCTCGAGCTCTTCCCCATCTCGGACATCGTCATTGCCGAGCCCATCTAGGTTCTCTTGTCGGGGATGAACTCTGGTTCTCCTCCTTGGTCTCTGGCTGTTGGTGTCTCGTTGGCTGCAAGAGTTATGCGGACACGCGAGTTAGGATAACTAAGTAGTCCTCGCTTGACTCTCTGGTTTGTTCCTGCACTCAAAGATTCCACATGAGCAAAAACAAATTTTGATTTTCAAAAAGAGTTACCTGGGCTGCTTGAAGATCAGCTACATAAGTCTCTTAATTTTTGGACTTCCCGGACATGGTAGTCACCAAGTCAGTTAACGTCTTAAGGGGATCGACAACTGTTTGATCGGCCATGATGACTGGTTCGTGCCTTGAAACTTCTGAAGGGCTTGAGAACTTAGCGTCTCCATAGACAACGCCAAAATATGGATGTCGGATTCGCACACTTAAGTATTTGTATTATTCGTGGGTTAAAATCTCAAGATCAAGAGTAAAAGAAAAATACGTATAGAAAATAGTATGATAATGTATGCAAAGTATAAAGAGTAGGCCTGGGCGTTCGGATATTCGGGTCGGGTTCGGGTCGGGTTTTTCGGGTTCGGGTTTTTCGGATTTAGAAAACCAAGACCCGTTCGGGTATTTTGCAACTTCGGGTTCGGGTCGGGTTCGGATCGGATATTTCGGGTTCGGATTCGGGTTTACCCGAAGTATCCAAATATTAGAAATTTTGTATCCGATTCTATGCAAAGTATTAAATAAATACTCAAAAAATCTATGAAACCCAAGTATTTTATACCCGAATCTAGCCCAAAGTAGCTAAAACACCCGAAAATATCTTAACATCCGAATAATGTAGGCACTTAGGTTATTACAAATATAAATATTACTAATATATTATAACTATGTACTTATATTTTGGGTATGTTCGGGTACTTGTTCGGGTTGGGGTTCGGGTCGGGTTCGGGTTTGGGTTTTCGGATTGTGAAGTTTAGAACCCGTTCGGGTATTTTAAAACTTCGGGTTCGGATTCGGATCGGGTTTTTCGGGTCGGGTTCGGTTCGGTTCTTCGGGTTCGGATATTATGCCCAGGCCTAATAAAGAGCAAATAGTATGGTATTGATAATGTCCCAAGATTTTGATGTTTCCCCTTTGGTCTATGAGACTATATATTTATACACAATGATATACATTAATTACCTAATTAATGTAATAATTCTCATTAAATGGGTCTTTTTTGATTTTATCATCAATCTGTAACGTTTTGTTTGAACCATTTATAGTCTTTGTTGGGCCTACGGGTACTCGGCCCACCTCCCAAGTCCCAACTCATAACTCTTTCTTCACCGCGTTTAAAATCTCCGAGCTCTTCCTTCACTTTACTTGGAATCTCCGAGCTCTTTGGTTCGTTCAACGTTAGTTTGGTGCCTCGGCTCGGGAATTCATCTGTTGACTTTTATTAGGTTGATTCAGTGTCCAATATCAATCTTCGAGTGAGATCGAACTGGGAGTTCGGAATCCGACACCAACACTCCTTAATATCAATCAACGTAAAGGAATCTCCGAAGTTGATAAGAGAGCTTGACATTCTTAGATATGTGTGGTCATTTCAGTAAGGCGGGTTACATGCTAGTTCCTATGTTCCAAGATATTAGTCAAGTCTCTTTTCTCCATTGTACCTTATACTGGAAATTCGATGTAGAATCTCTCCTCCGTTGATCCACCTCCGTTAATCCTCAAGCTTTGAGGCATTAAAAGTACCATAATACTTTTGTGGCAAAAAGTATAAGCATTTGCAAGTTGCATCTTTAACTCAAGAAGAGTTAAAGGCATGAAAATTTTGTACTGGCATGGAGAGAAAAATCTCAATGAAAATTGGTCATAAGCTAGACTATACGGAGGTTATAAGTTCAGCTTGAAAACGGTATCGTACCACTGTCTTAAAGTGAAATTGATAACCCCACTCTTCCTTTATGAGAAATCACTACATACCATGATGCTACTCATCAAATATCAAACGTAATGCAACTCATGAGGTTAGATAAAGTCACATTTCTCAAAATTGTGACTAAAGATTTTCATTAATGCAAATCCTACATAAATATATCAAATGAGACAACTTGTATTTTGGTAAATTTTAATTGCCTCACTATTTAGATTCTTGAATATATGTTGTAATTGCACAAAATAAAGAAGAATTTACATATTTAGACTTGTAAAATTTATGTAGTTCAACTTTTGTACAACTGTTTTAACTACCACAACTTCTAAAGTGTTTTTTTCTATCATTTTTGTACAACTGTTTTAACCATCACAACTTCTTAAGTGTTTTATGTCATGTCTAGTCTTTTTCTTAATTAATCCAGGGATTTTTGGTCGTCATTATCTTCTCTGATTATTATTATATATTTTAATTAAAAACAAACTATAATGGAGTTTTACAAAAATAATCAATTATGAGTTTGCGATTTTTTGGAGTGGCATATGTGGATTTGCCATTTTTCAAGGTGATGAAAATACAATTTAATATATATTTTATCCGTTATGTTTGGGTTTAGTCGGTTTCAACTTGTTCTTAGGGTGTAGTATTTGTTATAAAGTACGTATTTTATAAATAAAGTTCTTCAATTACGTTATTTTAGGGAAAAAAAACTTTAGTGAGTCCTCATATCTTATATACCTTGTATCTCTCATTTTGTTCACATTAGTAACAATGGATAGCTAATCAGTTTTGTATTGTTTTTTTTTTACAAAACCAGATTCTAAAGATGCCACGTCAACCATCAAATCGTCTATAATGAAATTGCTTTCCGCACAGTTTGTTAAGCGTGTCCCTTCCCAGAGTCATGTACTCACCACAAAAATTGTTAAAGAATCTCCTGAGTTTGTGGAGCAAGCGGTTCTCAGAGAAACAACTCCTACAGATCTAATCCGGTTTTCTTCTAATTTCAACAAACCAGATCAGGAGTTTTATCGTGTTAATTATGTAGATATTCATCAAGTGTTTGAGACAAAAATTCATGAAAGAGAATAAGAGAGGCGACCTAGATTTTGACAAAATCATCACTCTAGCTCAAAAGGATAAGATGGAAGCGGTAATCGCTGATAAACTTGGGGATGAATCATGCAAGATTTTCAGATTTTTATCAAAGGAACAAACATTTCTTCAGAATTATGAGATCAAGTCTGCAATGGGGATTAGAAAAGATCTTCAAGATGATTTGATGACATTGTGGCGTGAAGGCTTTTTGACCATCCAGAAAGAGATGGTCACAGCTGTCGACTTCCCAGTTCTCTATTGGAATGTTGACTTTAGGAAGGTGAGAAGGAACGTCTATTATCTTGTGCAGGGTTTTACTAAAGAGATTTGCTTGGAGAAAGATGTATGGCACGGGTATGAAAACTTTGTATCTCTTAAGTTCAAACTGCTCATATATATGTGCTTTATATGTGTGACGTTTGACTGGAATATTTGTGGGCTCAATTAAGATCACAAACCTTAGAGTAAAAAGCATTTTATTTCCTAGCTGATCACAAGAGATCTTTCCAAAATTTGGCTTATTATTGTCCCCTACATCTTTCAACTCACTCTCGTACGTAAAAAAAGCTTGGTATATATGCTTAGGTTCATTAAAGATAGGATGGTGGCAAAATTGATCCTTTCCTGCATTTTTTTAAATTTAATTTTGTTAAGAAAGTCTTCCCTTCATTTTTTTTTGTTTAATTGTTTGTTTGGTTAAGAAAGTCTTTTCTTCATTTGCTTACACCGTTTAGATTAGTTTAGTCATAGTCTCATAATCTCAACATCAACAATTTTACTGACAATCTTTTTTTTTTTTTTTTTTTTTTTTTTTTTTTTTTTTTTTTTTTTTTACTGACAATCTTTGTTTGTTGTATATTTCCTCATGCTTGATAGATATTTTTTGCGATTACATATATCGGTAACACTCTCACGGATTTGGATATATTTTCTTTCAAATTTCGAACGATCATTTCAATGTGGCTACGTAATTTCTGTGGAGTCTTAATTTAGAGAAGTTTACTCTACATGTACGTGTGATTAATTCATTAATCTTGCAGTTGTGGAGATGGCAGAGAGATTTGCGTTTTACGGTCTTGCAAGCAACCTAATAACGTTTCTAACAAACAAGCTTGGCCAGTCCACGTACGGCCACCGCAGCAAAACACATCAACACATGGAACGGTGTTTAGCTCTTGCATGTTCCCCATTCTCGGGGAGTTTCTAGCCGACTCGATCCTAGGCCGCTTCAAAACCGTTCTCTTGACTTCTTTCATCTATCTCTTGGTCTATATATCGTTACCATACATAAACCTTGACTCATTTTTAAAGATCTCAAACTGAAACTAGGACTAATCATTACGAACTGAATTTTAGGGAAATGTCATGTTGCCATTGTCGGTGACGGTGGTGGCGCCGGGAATGAGAGAAAAAGTGTTCTTTTTGGCGTTGTATGTGACGGCGGTTGGAGAAGGAGGGCATAAACTATGCGTCATGACCTTTGCAGCTGACCAGTTTGGAGAGGGCAATCCGGAAGAGAAAGCATCAAAGACATCTTTCTTCAATATTTGGTATATCGCCATCGTCCTTGCTTCTTCCATAGCTGTTCTTGCCCTCATCTTCATTCAGGTCTTTTACTTTTCAATTTTCTCTTAACGTTGACTCTATTTTTGTTGGTGTAGGAGAATTAGCTTTAGTAAGATATGTATTCATATGCTGGTTTCAATAATTAATCACGTTAGCGTTAATGAAGCAATGAGACAGAACTGAAACAAACTTTGAAACACTTTGTTGATACCTACTGGTTCCTGTAAGCTTCGAAATTGAACTCTAAAAAATGTTGATTTTGAGATTCACAAAATCCAAATTCACTGACACAGAACTTACGAAACAAAAAACTAACTCAATTGATTTAAGAAAAACATTTCAATTTTAATAAGGAAATGAGAATAATCTCAAAAACAGAGAATGTTGCCGAGTTTACACTCACAAAGACTAACACAGACAAAGAGAGATCATCAACTCTACAAGATCAATATCGCATCCATTACGTGTGCCACGTTGAAACAACAAATCAACAAGGTGTGTATATGGATGCTTTTTCACTTGAACTACAAAATTCATTATCTTCGAATATCTTATCTAGCAGCAAAGTCAATGGACCCTAATGTTCCAACTTCCTCCTTACATAAATCTACAACATACAAAAAGTTATATTGTTGCCAAATTTATAATTCTTCTAGTTCGGCCAAAATATCAAACCATCCCTAGCTGATTTGAAAGTTTTCCTTTTTTTTTTCTTTAGAATTCCTAGGTCGAGATGGAGGATGCTGAGCTCTTCGTGTATATATATTTAAAAGCCTCAGATCTTTTCTCTTGATCATCAATTAGAGACGACGGTACAATGTTAAAAAGACATGGCTGCTCGAGTGTGGAATTTATCTTGAAAAGACATCGCCGCTCGAGTGTGGCAACACTACCCAACGATGTTGTAGAGCTCATCCTCGAGAGACTATCAGTGGAGTCTCTTGTGAAATTCAAATCTGTATGCAAGAATTGGAAATCGACAATCGAGTCGCAGCTTTTCCAGGAACGACAGTTTATCCGTCGTAGGGAATCACGAGGTGAAGATCTCCTTTTCGTGTCCCTAAGTGATTATACGCATACTTGTTATGAATCTGGGAGGATGAGAATTGTGTTGGGGTCGTCAGTATTTCGCACGGTCAGGTTCCCTGTTTTGGGCACTGAGGTTTGCCATGGTTGTTGTGACGGTCTGGTATGCCTCTCCGATGCCTACACACCGAATTTCGTGATCAACCCCGCCACTGGATGGCGTACAAGTTTTCCACTTTCCAGCTATCAACAGCTCCGAAACGCTAGGTTTAACCAAAGAGACTATGACGTCCCATGTCCTAAGCTTGGATTCGGTAAAGACAAACTCAGGGGCACATACAAAGCAGTTTGGCTATATAATTCATCTGAGTTTGGCTTAGACGACGTCACTACTTGTGAAGTTTTTGATTTTGGCACCAACGCTTGGAGGTACGTTCTCCCTGCTTCTCCTTATCGGATTATTTCTTACAATGAACCCGTGTATCTAGATGGGTGAGTGTGAAGAAACCAAGGTGTTATCTTTCCATCTTCACACCGAAACTTTTCAAGTCATCTCTAAAACTCCCTTTTCCGCTGCAAGTGTGCCTGTCTTGTCCGTCCTTGATAACCGCTTGTGCATATCCATGCATGACTGGCCCAACCGAGTCATTTTGTCGTTAAGTGGAAACAAGACATGGGAAAAAATGTGTTCCATAAATCTCGATGATACTTTCCATTTGTTCGGGAGACCCCAATGCACAGTCATACCAATAGCAATTGTAGACAAGAATAAGTTACTACTTCGTGCTGAGGGAGCGAGGAACCATCTGCTATCACTGGTGATACATGATGTCCATACTAAATCTTTTGATTTATTCTACAGGCCTAGGCCTGGGCAAAAAAACCGGACCCGATACCCGAACCGATACCCGGACCGAAAAAACCGGGTTGGGGCGGGTTAGGGTATTAGAAAATTACCTCATTGGGTAGAGTTTTAGATTACCCGTGGGTATCGGTTCGGGTCGGGGATTACCCGTTACCCATTTCGGGTACCCATAAACCCGAAGCAATACACATATGTTTATATATGTATATAGATAATTAGATATAGTCTTAAATGACCATGGTTTTGAATGATTAAGGTAAGTAATTACATTGACTTTCATGGTTTTGAGTGATTAAGGTAGGTAACATTTGATTGTTTTTTCTTGTCAGGAGAGAAAGATTCAAAACAAAGTCATCACTCATCAGTCATGCATCACCGGATCTTGTTCTATCTTGTTCTATGTTTTTCATTTTCGAATAATCAGATTTATGTGATTTTGGATTGAAATTTACTCTTAACACTTAAGAGTTAAGTAGACATCTTTGTTATTTTGGATTAGATTTAGTATTTAAATGTCATGTTTGATCTTCTATTCTCTTTATTTGATCATTTGAGCATGTAAAATGATTTTAAACTTCGGGTATTGGAGTCATATTTCGGGTTTATGGGTAATTTTACTCATTTAGACCCGAACTCAATGGGTACCCAAAGTTTTTGGGTTTTTTCCGGTTCTTATACTTATTACCCAAACCGACCCGAACCCGACGATACCCGAACCGGACCGGAACCGAAACTTTAGGAATACCCGAATGGACCATAAATTCATTACCCATTCAACCCGAACCCGAACGGGTTTTACCCGAACCCGAATGGATTACCCATATGCCCAGGCCTATACAGGCCTACCAGCGTCGGATATTGTGTTTGTTATTTCCAAAGTTTATTCACTGCTTAGTTTATTCGTCTTTTTACCAATTCTAGTTTATATCATTGTTGCAATTTTAATTTCACGACCAACTGGTTTTCTTAGGCAGTAGATTTTGTTCTCTTGGATATTTATCTTGTATTCTGCATTTTAATAATTTCAAATTTAATTTCAGATAAACGACAGCCCGAAAATGTTTCCCACGAGAAATGATTCCGTAACAAGATGTATAAATCTATACTATTAATTGGGAAGCACAAAATATTAAGTAACCTTTAGTTTATGGAATATTACTTAGATTGCCATTAGGTTTTTTAAATTTAGAGAAGGAAAATATATAAAATAGGAAAATCAAATATATTCCCTCAAACATCGTGATTTTTTTTAAAACAGTTATTAATAGTTTGAGGAAAATCTAGGAAATCCAAACTTAACCTGCAAGATAAATTAATTCAAACTGAGTTATTCATGTGATTTTGTCCAAACTTAACCTGCAAGATTTTGTCCTCTGTTTATACATGTGACTCTTGGATATATTTTCTTTTATTCATGTGATGATAATTACAAAATAGATATACTTTCAGTTAGGCTATGTTTTTACAACTTATAAATTAACTACATAGATTTATCGAACCATGCCTTCTACTGGAGTTGGGTCAAAAGACGGTCACACTCAGCTTATGAATCTGATCCAACAAATAGTTTATATAAGTTCTTGATTCCACTTTTGTAATGGGTGAGTTATATAGCAAAGAAACAAAATATTTTAATTGAGTTATTAGTACACTACTTGATGCTAATGAACTTTGTTCTTTCCTACAAGTTGCTCATAGTTTCGTGCTAGCTTCTCTGATTTAAGTGTTATCTTTTGTTTCATTATAGAATCTTAATACAAGAAAAAATTGTCTAGAAATGGATATTCTATCTGAATCTCTTACCCGTTCTCTTATATGTTGAACTAGATTAAACATTCTCAGATAGGTAATTATTTTTAAAAAAACAATTATGTGACGAAAATTTTTAAGATATGCAACGTGACGGGACGAGACTACTTTTTCTCATTGTCTTTTCTATGTAATTGTCTAATAACAAAATCAAATCAACTCACTCATTCTGTTAACACCGAAATGAAACCAAACAAAATACCAAACTGATATGAATTCAAATTATGAATGGTATACCAAATAAATATACAAACATTACTCCGCACGTATGCTCGGATCCGAATCTATATATATGACCAAAATAACAAAAGAATCTATATTGAATTAAATTTTATTTAAAACATATTTTTAAATATGAAATCCCGCACGTATGTGCGGGTCAGGATCTAGTAAATGGATTAAAACAAGATTAGTCCTTGAAGCACCTACCTAATGGGCCACGCGTTTCGGCCATTCATTCGGCCCATATAAACCAACCCAACACAACGAGAAAGCTGAAAAGTTTACAAATTTGACCTAAAAGAAAAGATGGAAACGGATTACGTACGGCCGTTCCTCTCTCTAACGTACTACGAGTGATTATCTGATGTTTTGATTGGAGGAGATTTCTGTTCTCAATTAAAACACGATTTGTTTGCGGATCTTTTGTAAGGGTTAAAAAGGTCTTGAATGATGATGGCGACGAAGGAGGCTGAAACATGGATATTTTGGGACATAAGTTCTTGTCCGGTTTCCTCCTCAGATGTTGCTAGTCGAGTTGGCCCGTGTATGAAACGAGCGTTGAAGAATTTAGGCTACTCCGGTGGTATCACCATCACTGCAATTGGCATACTAACAGAGATCGATACCGACGTCCTTCGAGCTGTCTATTCCTCTGGAGTCGCTCTTACTCACGTCAGTTCCGGTTAGTTTATCTCTTGTGTCTTTCTTTCTACATAGAGAAAGAGTCTTAATTATTTATTTTCTATAACAGAACGCTTAGGGATTACTCTTGAACTGATGTGGTGGATAAAAGAACATCCAATTCCTGCTAATTTCATGCTCATATCCGGTGATGAGATCTTCCGTCGGAATCATAGGTTCTTCGAAGAGGCAGGACACACTGTTATTCAGAAATTTCCATTTGATCAACAAGACGTAGACTCCACTCCTGTACCGTCCCCCGTCTGGGAAAACTATCTGGAAAGCTTAAGGCCAGGTAGGTGTTTGTCTTCCTTCTCTTATAGTTAATAAAGTTGTTGTTTCTGAACTAATCAGTTACTTTTTCCACAGATGCAATTGAGTCAGGGGTACTTGAGAAGGAGCCGGGTTTGGTTTGCGGACAATGTTGTCTTCCTGACCAACAAGGCTTTGAAAATTTCATCAAGCATCTCAAAACTCATGTTTATGTAAACATTTGATTCAACAACCTCCTTTCTTACGTCTAGTTTTATTTGCCCTAAATTTGACCCCATGCTAAGTTTTACCACTTGGATGTGCATTTTCTTTGTTAATCAGGTTTCCCCTGAATCATCTCCTCGGATGATGAAAAGGAAGCAACCAGAGGCAAGTTTTAATATCTTAAGAATTTGAGCGTTCTAATTCTCATAAATAAACATTTTTGTATCTCTTTGGGGAGACTCCTAATGTGAAATAGAATGCATTATTTTGATTTGCTGACTTAATTTGGTTCATTGGTTGATGCTAAAACATTGTAGGGAGAGAGTGCATGACCCCTCCCCCAAAACAAGAAACTAAGGACGTGAACATGTAGACGACTACGAAGAAGAGTACATGTCCCCTCCCCGTTGTTGTTCTTCTCTCTAGAGCATTTTCATTCTCTGTTCTCAGTAGGAAATACTTGTGCTTATTTGCAAGCCTCGTTTATTAAAATTCATTATTGTTTACTTAAAAGAGAGCAAAAATGTTCCAAAGACCTCATTGTTGTTTACTTACATAGTTTGCTTTCAGGGTTTACGCGATTCACAACCTCATAGTTTATACATTCTTTCTTAATTAAACATCACAGTCACTGCTTTTCCCAAAGATATGCCAATAGATTAATCAATTAGTCTCACTAAAATCATCGTTGAAATTATAAAATCCACAACGCTTGTCATATCGTCTAGCATGTTCATTCTCACACCTTTATGGAGTCTAAGAGAATTTAGAAATTCTACATGTTCATAGAAGAAAAATGGAGACAAAAAGTGTTAAACAATGTGACATATATTAGTCTAGTTTTGGTGGAAACCATTATCGAGCAGTGAAAGTTTCAGATCCACCTGTCTTGTACTCTTCATCGTCCATGCATTTTATTCCAACGTCGTGGTTGCCTAAGTAATATCTACAGTTTGGGCGTTGGTCATATAAGCAAGAAGCTGGGAGACAAAAAAAAGTTCAGCTTTGGAGAGAAAAATGCGAATACCTCCAAAGTCTTTAGTATAGAGAGCATTTCCTTCTTTTTCTAGCCTCAACACATGGAAATGGTCCCAATCTACTTTCCCTTTCCTACAAGGTTTGCTATTTGTGAACCATTTCACCATAAAATTAAAGTCTCACTTGAGTGTGATGACTCCACCAAGTAGTGTTGTATCTTGTTACGCGAATCGAACAGCTTTAATTTATTAACATTTTTTCACTATTTTCCTCCTCGGCAAACTCACCCAAACTCTTACAATTTTCCGGTTAAATTTTTTATTTTAATGAAAATAAAACAAAGAAAAAATATAAAAGATGTGTTATGGAGTTGTGGAAGCCCCCTTGGCCCATTGGTTGACCAAGGGTTAATTAATGCTTCTACACCAAGAGGTCTGAGGTTCGAGTCCCAGATTTTGCAGATTAAAGGAAGCAAGTGTGCAGGAGATCTCCAGCGAAGTACAATTATAGCCGTTCGCCAGGATTCTACGCAGAGAGAAGTGTCGTAAGGTCGTGGATCATTGAAGGTGTCCGTCAAGAGCATGGAGAAGGAAGTGTCGTCTGTCGTGGATCTAATAAGGGTCGGAAGGAATTGTCCGTTGTAGAATCGTCTATGTAACAGTTCTCATAATTTGCAATAAATAATAAATCTAGACTTCAAAAAAAAAAGATGTGTTATGGAGTTATTTGATTTTATTTATCGAAAATTTGTTATTTATATATATCACTCTAAATGATGAAAAAGAAAATAAAGAAAAATATTAAAAAAAGTTTTTGGTATCCCCTAGTTATGTTACATATGTTGGCTATTCAGATAACTAAATTAATATCATTCAACTTCCTTTTAAACTCCATTTTGAAATAAAATTATCATAAATCATATCAACACTAAATCTCTACTCGTTTTTATGTTCCAACACACCTATTTCTCCAATTGCTCTAGCTTCTAAGGATGAAAGTCACAATTTGGTAGCAATTTTTGATGTGTTTCTGACTAATGAACTAAAAGTTATATAAAATAACATGATTTTAATCTAGTCCTTGTCTTTAGTGACATTTATTACATATCTAGAATGCAAATAGTAAATCTCATCCGTATCAATTACACTCCCAATTTATTATCATTTTAAATTTTCATTTGCTAGTAGTCATTCTAAAAACAAAGAAAAAATATCATTGGTTAAATTTTCCGTAGGTCCTCTTTAAATGCATATAAGATTAAGAGTTTTAGTGCATTGGTTCTTTTGAAATACGTAATTTAAAACCATGTACAATAACCTGATTTTGATAAGTTTACTTATAAAAATAATATAAAATTATATTCAAAGCGACACTTATAATGTAACCGGATCCTACAACCTTCATTGTCCAGGTTTCATACAAACAAGTAACAACATTGTTCTTGGTGGCACCATACTCCCGTCTCTACATTCGAAGGAAACCAATTTGAGATCACCATATTAGTATGGAAGGTTAGTTAGGTTACTGTTAAAAAACTTTTATTTTTACTTAACGAAATTTATATTTCCAAACTAAAAGTTAAATACCATCGTTGATAAATAAATATGTAGGATCAAAAGTCCGGAAACTGGTGGTTGAGTTTGGGATCCAACCATTCTTTGATAGGATATTGGCCAGCTGCAATTTTCCAAAAGTTAGCTTATGCAGACGAGTGCAATGGGTTGTTGAGTTCGTGAATTCGCAAAGTTTGGCCGACACACGACAACACAAATGGGATCTGGTCGTTTCTCCGATGAAGGCTTTGGCAAAGTTAGCTACTTTCGCAACTTGGAGATCGTAGATAACAACATATTCAAGTCCGTTTAAGACGTACCAGTAAGAGTAGACACCCTAAGTTCTACAACATTAGAGCCATGTTTAGAGATGATTGGTTACATATTTTATGGAGGGCCAGGCTGTATGCATTCATGAGTCTTAAACCATATCCACACCAAATCTCTACTCATTTTTTATGTTCCAACACACTTATTTCTCCAATTTTTCTAGCTTCTAAGGATGAAGGTCACAATATGGTAGCAATTTTTCTGTGTTTTTGACTAATGAACTAAGAAAAAATAAAACAATTGACAAAAATTAGAAAAAAGTAAGCAAAACATGAACATAATATTGTATAAGAAACAATGAAAAGAAAGACAAAAGTAGAAGTTATAAAATAAATCTGAGATATTAAAAAAAAAAGAGTAAATAAAAAATGGATGATTTAAAAAAAAATATAAAATGCTATGGTAATTATTAAAAATATTGATAAATTATGCATCCTTAGGAAATATATTTACCTACTAAATATCTTGTTTTATATAGCTTATAAACATAACTATGTGAATAACACTAATTAAAATAGAGATTAGTATATTTGATACATCCTTAGAAAAAATATTTACCTACTAAATGCTTGAACTCTATAAAAAATAAAAGGAACGACGATGTATTTCCCCCTCACAACTTTCGTATAACCCCACTTCCACCCAAAGTTTCATCCTCTGTCTATTTCTCTCCAAAAACATAGTTTTACAATTATTTCTCCCCAGATCTAAAGTTTAATACCTATCTCCACATAACGTTTGGTTTACTGGGTTGATGACGTAAACCCGATACGAAACCAAAAAAACTATAGACCAACCGAATAAAAAACCAGAGTCGAGTTAGTACCCGACCCGTAACCAACGATATCAACAGTTCATATGGGAACCATTTAAAAGCAAACTTTTAAATTGACTCGAATTATATGTCTTTTAAATAAAAGTATTATTAAAAAGTAAATAACAAAATGATGTTTAATTTCACAAGAGGGGTTATATGGTAGACTGGTTTAGGTCGATATTAATACAGGACGGTATATTACGGAGAAATCCTAAAATTAACAAACAAAAATATAATTATACAATCTTAAATATTTAAGAAAACAAATAATATTAATAAAACAAATACTATCTCAAATTTAAATAATTTTAGTTAAAAAAAAAATCGATCTACGATGTATTGCGGGGTAAAATCTATCGCATGATCAAAAAATATTTCAGTTGGAGATTATTTAACAGCAATTCAAAAGAAAGAGGAGATCAATATTAGACTTTATCTGTAATGAACCAAACCCAACAATTCGGGCTAGGCCCATATGTTTGTCTCTTTAAAGTCCAAAACCCTAAAGCTAAGTCTCCTGGAAACCCTTAGAAAACATAAAGAAAGGAAAACAGAAGACGAGATCGCAGATACGCTCATACGAAGAAAGAAGACACAACCGAGGGAAGGAGGATCAGAGAAAAATAAAACGGATTCTCGGAGAAGAGAGAAAGAAAGATATCTTCACAAAGCCCTAGCATTTCAGCCACGTCATTGCAAAGGTGAGCGAGTGATATGTGGATTCACAATAATCGATTTATCTTCTCACTTTTTTAGGGATTGAAGTATGTGTGATGCGTGATGTATGTATGTGACGATATGTGACGTGTTGATACGTTATTTTAGATGATGTGATTATAATATAAGATATTATATAGTATGATGTACGTGTGATGTTCTGGAATGACATAGTATGGTTGATGATTGCTAATCATGTTATGATGATCTGCTGACGTGATGATATGATGATGTGACGACCGATGCTTCTATCAGAAGTGAGGAACATATATAATTCGTATCAAAATTTTGGTTAAGCCCATCTTGAATCTTACATGGAGAAGTCCTTGATGGCCTAGTGGTTTCAATGTGACTTCTCACACACGACTGCCAGAGGTCACGAGTTCGACTCTCTGTCGGCGGGGTGGAACTGAAACCTCTCCAAATAAAATCCTGTTGTAGATGGCCCACGGGTTTCTATGACGCATATAGGATTTTTCTGGATATGGGGCCTTTCGGGGTGGGGTCAGTCACTATAAAAAGTTTACCCTAACAGTTTTAACCACATGGTGGTGGGCGAGTGGTTCTCGTTTGGTTGGAAGGATCGCCATGTTGGTCTAGGCCAGGGATCGATCCTCCCCAGACGCAGTTTCGCTCTCTCACTCCTGTGGCCACCTGGGAATTTACCTGCGGACTTGCTCAGGCGCCCCAGACCACCAGTTTATCAGGGGGCCCTTAAGTGGTGGCTTAAAAATCCCTGTGACGCGGGCTTAGGCCCAGTGGGCTAGTCAGATCACTGTGTGGTCTGGATACTGGGTTATCAAAAAAATCTTACATGAAGGGTCGGTTTATAAATATTTTTAATATAGTTTTTTTTCTTTCAAAAGTGGAAATTACTTGGAAACAAAAGCACTAGTAATGCAGACTTCTGTCATCATAGTTTATGGTTTATAGATTTGGTTGTGAATTTTGTCTTATGTGTGATCAGAATGGGACCTAAGAGAGCTCAAAGATCTGCTGCCAAACAAAAAGTGGAAGTTCCAACTACCTTAGCTGAGAATGCAAGCAATGGAGAGCAAACAGTAAAGTATATGAATGCAAATGAGCATGCACAAGTGTTGGTACAAGTGCCAGTTGGTGTTGCTCAAGTAGGAGATCGTACGGTAGTGAATGCAACCGTGTTGCAAGGGATTCGAGACCTGTTTGAAGAAATTATTCAAAAGAATTTTGTGGTTAATGATCCCCAAGGAGTCGCGGTAGTCAAGCCAATGCACATGCCAGTACCAGTGGAAATACCTACTTATTGGGAGATGTTGAGCCTCATGAGAGATTTAGATATAGAGACTTTCAATGGTGGGACAGACCCGGTTAAAGCATATAACTGGAGAAATATGATGGAGTCCAAATTCAAGTCCATGAGGTGCCCAGTTGACTTTTGGAGGGATCTAGCCTCTTGCTACCTAAGAGGTGAAGCAAATGAGTGGTGGGAACGTGTGATGAGGAGAGAACAAGTTGGATGCGTGGATCAATGGGCTTTTTTCAAAGAGGAATTCACCAGAAGATATCTCCCAGAGGAGGCCATAGACAAGCTGGAGATAAAGTTTTTTAAACTGCAACAAGGTACCAAGTCAGTGAGAGAATATGAGCAAGAGTTTAACAATCTCGAAAGATTTGATAGAAGAAAAAGAGGAGAGCAGGAGTTGATCCATAAATTCATCTTGGGGCTGAGAGTGGATATACGAATGTGTTGCCAGTTTCATGACTACCGCGACATGATTGACTTGGTCGAGAAGGCAGCTTCGCTGGAGATAGGACTTGAAGAAGAGGCCAGGGAGAAGAGGATCGCTCAAGAAAAGGTGGCAGAGGGATCATGCTTGTCGTACAGCCAAACCGCGCATAGTAAGAGAAGATGTCTAAATGTGACATGTTACAGGTGTGGTGTATCCGGACACATGTCTAGAGACTGCAGAATGCCATTTGATGGGAAGCAGGAAGGTTAATTGGACTGAGGAACAATTGTCTTGTCGCCACCCCCTAAGAGACTAGTGTTGGGGCATTGGGTTGGCTGCAAGAGATTAGAAAGGCATATAACCGGTCGTTGGTGAGAATGAAGTTGAGGAATTTCGTTACTTAAGCTTGGGGTCACTATGGTGTTGATTTTAGGCAGAGATATTTCGTTATTTCGAATATTCGAATGACCATTTAATTTTTATTTTCAAAAAATATTAAAAGACCGTTAGTTTGTTTTTGAAACCCGTTATTAATAGTTTTTTTTTAGATTAATCACACTATTGGAGTTTGGTTTGGCATCAAACCCGCCATTCGAGACCGCCTTGGAGCTAGATACCGCTAGCCCCATGAAAAGGTCAAAACAAATACCGTACATCTCGAAAGTGAAGGAGCGGAGTTGGTTGCGTGAGTCGGAGATCTCAGAGCAGTTGAGCCCGTCATCAACCTACAAAGAAGAAGACTAGAAGCTTAGAAGGATCATCTTCAAGCCTAGCTTTGTGTACAAAATTCATGAGTTCTCACATTTTAATAAATCGTCGATTCAAGTCTTACTTTACATCGTAGGCATATAGACATTTAATTCCCATAAATCCTTTACAAAAAAACTTAGGTGGGAGTTTAGCACTCTTATGCACCATTAAGTGTAGACGATAAATTATTTGTAGGACTACAATCTTCTGGACTTTTAAGGCTTTTTTTGTTTGTTTTTTTGATAATTAACTTTTAAGGCTTGATATACCTATGTAGTAAAAGTACCAACGCACACGAGCCATCTAACTTTTACTTACTAGGCGCTAAGCGGGCGGTGATCCAGTGCCTAGCGCCTAGAACGCCTAATCGGGGCCTAGGCGATTTTTAGGCGGTTTAGACGTTTATAACAAAAAACATCATAAATATAATATTATATATAAAAGTTATATAAAACTAAAAATTATGAAATTATAAACAAAAACTAGATAAAACATTTATTTATATTTATATTAAACAATATATGAATATTTATAACTATATATATATAAATAAAACTCTAATTGAAATTGAAAAAATATATTAAACAAAATCTATGTAAATTTAGGCGGTCAAGGCGGTTATGTAGGCGTCGCATGACAGCCTAGCGCCTAGTCGGGGCCTAGGCGACCGCCTAGACCGCTTTTTAGAACACATATGGATCACATATAACACTTTTTCTAATAATAATATGACAAGAATCTTTAAACGAAACAATTACATGGAACTCGAATTAAACCATTAAATTTAAGCCTTATTTTGCTTGCATTAATTAAATTATGGATCGGTGAGATTTCAAGTCTTTCAAGTCCCCCTGTTCCAGACATAAGGAATGATCAAAACATACATGAGTTACATTAACATCTAGATCAAGTCATCAACAGAGAAATAGATAATGTATCATCTTTTTTTTTTTTTTTTTTTTTGATGTATCATCTTATATACAACATGTATACGAATATCAGACGTTTAAATTTTACTAGATTTACTAAGCATTGTTAAAGAAGATACAAAAGAAAATAAATTTAAACGGAACTTTTTGGATGGACAAAAAGATGATATTTGTCAGTTTTTGAATCGAACTTACGGAAGAAATTAACAATATGATTTTTTTTTTTGCAATTTGCCCTATAATAGTCATTATCATATGATTCATATCCCATTTGTACTTTAATTCCTTTTTTATATGAAGGCAAATAAAATTTACGATAGTGTACTTATTACTTCTCTTCCTACAAGCACTTGAAAGTCAACTCTCAACAATGGCGGTCCTTTTGTTCCATAGAATCGCTCTCACCCTACTTTTAAGCTTACTCTTTCTCTTCGCAACTTTCGGGTCAAGTTCCAGGACCCGATTCAAGTATTCGTTAGAGAAGCCTCACCACCCGCTTGACCCACTAACGTCACATGAAATAAAGAGAGTCCGAACCATTCTCTCCGGTCATGATCCGGGTTTCGGGTCTGGGTCATCGATCATTAACGCCATGGCTCTCGACGAGCCTGAGAAGCAACGTATCGTCCGGTGGAAGAAAGGTGATCGTCACCCACCGCGAAGAGCGGAGGTTCTTGCAATGTCTAACGGAGAAAGTCACGTGCTCACGGTGGATCTTAAATCGGGTCGGGTTGTTTCCGATTTGGTCAACCCGACTTTTGGGTACCCGATTCTTACCATGAATGACATCGTTGCTGCCTCGCAGGTCCGTCCGGTTTAACTTCGAATCCAAATCTCAGTAAACCGGATATTGACCTGGTTTATTATTTAAATGCGTACCAAATCTGAGCAAATTGGTTTATTTATTTCCACTATCCAAATTACGTTTGGATCGGTTGTTTTTGGTTCCGGATTGTTTGGTTAGAAGGTTTAAGATACATTTAGCCATATAGGATAAATATAACTAACTTTTTAGGTATGTAATTGTATTTCAGGTATAAAGTCAGTTTTTAGTTGGCATTGGTTTGGTTCGGATATCGAAAATGTATGTATATGGATCTAATCGGATATTTTTAATTATTCGAACCGAACAACACCTTCCTTTTTGTTTGGTTCAGATATTTTGATCATGCCTAATCCAAATTTCCCAACTTGTAGGTTCCTTTCAAGAGCGTGGAGTTCAATCGCTCAATCGAGGCTCGTGGGATTCTGTTCTCTGATTTGATATGTATAACACCTTCTGCTGGGTGGTTTGGACCGGACGAAGAAGGACGGAGAGTCATAAAGATCCAATGTTTTTCAAAGAAAGACACCGTCAATTTCTACATGAGACCCATTGAAGGACTATATCTAACGGTCGATATGGACAAATTAGAAATCATCAAGATTGTTGACAATGGCCCGGTTCCAGTCCCCAAGTCTACCGGTACAGAATATAGACATGGATTTTTGAATGAAACAGTACATATAGACCGCGTCAACCCAATGTCGATGGAGCAGCCAGACGGTCCAAGTTTCAAGGTTGAAGATGGGTACTTGGTTAAGTGGGCGAATTGGAATTTTCATATTAAACCGGACCAACGTGCTGGTATGATCATCTCACAGGCTTCAGTTCGTGATTCCAAGACAGGTAACGTCTCAAAAGTCAAAATACACACTTACTTGATTAAACTTACACTAGATAACAACCCGCACGATGTGCGGGATGAAGTGATTCAAGTAAAATTATTATGATTAAAATTATTATCTGGGATCCAAGATCCGTTTGTGTAAAACGAAACTTGTTACAATTTTTTTTTTTAATTCAAATTTGGGACTATTTCATATAAGAATATATTTTACCCGTAAAATATTTGAACCTTGAATAAAGCTTCAACGTGATAAAAAAGTATTGACGAAATGTTACCATTTATGGCAATATGTCTTTCCGTATGTTTTAAATATTTCGAGATTTTGTAGTATAAAAAGAATTTTTTTTTTTTAATAAGTATACGAAATCCAAAATTTAGCAAAGATGAGATTTGATAGTTTCCAAGCTAAGATTTTGTACTGTTCCAAATCTAAGATTCTTAGATTATGAATGGATTATTTACGAAATGGTTATAATGTGGCCCGATTTTTGTTTATATACAAATGAGGTTATAATATTTTTCTTCAAAAAGTTAGAACTCCTCCAAAAAATAGGATTTTAAGTATTCGTAACATATATAGAAAGGAGATTATCTTATTTATTTAAGTAAAAAATTTATGAAAGATGTAAAGATTTTGTAGTTTTGAATTCGAGATTCTTGAACCAAATGTATATATTTTATTATTTAAATATAAACATAAATATAAATATAAATAAAAAGATTGTTTACCCATCCGCTAAAGAAAATTTATAAATATATATATATATATAGTAATATAAGATAAACAAAAAGTGTATGTTTTTAATTATTAATGGGATATATGGATGTATGAGGCTAATGGCAAATTCTGTAAATAGTCTAATAAATCTTGGGTAATTATCTAAATAGAAACCAAATCATTGTGAGAGCGACACATCAGCGTGGCAATCTTGTTAATAACACATGATGGTAAGGTTTTTTTTTAAAAATGTTTCTCTATTATTATATAGGGGATTAGAAAAAAAAAAACACATTTACTTGATTGCATTTTTTTTATCATTATTGCGTATTTGTGTGACAAGAACAAAAAAGAAAAAAGAACATTAAAATTAAAATAACTATAAACTCTATCACAAAGAAGCCCACTGAACTTAGTCATTGTGACAAACTGACCACAATAGTATCCCAACAGGTGAAGCAAGAAGTGTGATGTACAAAGGTTTTGCGTCGGAGTTGTACGTACCATACATGGACCCAGAGGAAGGTTGGTACTCCAAAGCTTTTATGGATGCTGGAGAGTTTGGTTTAGGACCTACTTCAATGCCGCTTGTGCCGCTCAATGACTGTCCTCGAAACGCTTACTACATTGACGGTATCTTCGCTTCTCCTAAAGGCGATCCCATCCTTCAGCCTAACATGATCTGCTTGTTTGAACGCTACGCCGGCGACACTAGCTGGCGACACTCTGAGATTCTTCTCCCTGGTACAAATGTAATGTTCTATAACACAACAAGATTATTATTTTTTATATATAATATGATACGAGGAGCGGTGCTTATGAAAATGTAATTTGGATATCGACAGATAAGAGAGTCAAGGGCAAAGGTGACATTGGTGGCTAGAATGGCGTGTTCGGTTGGGAACTATGATTATACGTTTGATTGGGAGTTTCAAATGGATGGTTTGATTCGCGTTACGGTATGATCACATACATTATATATGCTTATCCTTTTAAACTTTCTCTTAAAAGTTCTCATAATGAAAAAAGTTATAAATTAGGTCGCAGCCTCAGGGATGTTGATGGTGAAAGGGACGCCTTACACAAACGTACAAGACTTGGGTGAGAAAGAAGCTGATTCTGGACCTTTGATCTCAGAAAATGTTATAGGAGTCGTCCATGATCATTTCATAACGTTTCATCTAGACATAGACATTGACGAGCCCGCCAACAACTCCTTCGTCAAGGTTCATCTAGAGAAGCAGAGACTTCCGCCTGGTGAATCAAGGAGAAAGAGTTACTTGAAGGTCAAGAAATATCTAGCCAAGACTGAGAAAGATGCTCAGATCAAGTTGAGCATGTACGACCCCTACGAGTTCCATCTTGTGAACCCTACTCGTCGATCTCGTTTAGGGAACCCGGCTGGTTACAAGCTTGTACCTGGTGCTAATGCTGCTAGTTTGCTTGATCATGATGATCCGCCACAAATTAGAGGGGCTTTCACAAACAACCAGGTACTCGGTTAAGTTTGGTTTGACATGGTTCAAAAAAGTTGATGTATAATTGATGAAGCTGGATCAATTGGTTTAGATATGGGTGACACGGTATAACCGGTCAGAACAATGGGCTGGTGGCCTTTTGATGTACCAGAGCCGTGGTGAAGACACGCTACAAGTTTGGTCGAACCGGTACGCACTTGAGTAAATTGCTACTGAATTGAACCTACTTTCTTGGTTAATTTTTTGACTAAAAGCTTTATCTTAACTTCTGTTTTTGTAATGAGCAGGGATCGTTCGATTGAGAAAGAGGACATAGTGTTGTGGTATACATTAGGGTTCCATCACGTACCGTGCCAAGAAGACTTTCCGATTATGCCAACGATAGCAGCCAGCTTTGAACTTAAACCGGTTAATTTCTTTGAATCAAACCCGATTCTTGGGATCACACCTTTCTTCGAGAAAGACTTGCAAGTCTGTTGACTACATGTTTCGTCTAACTCGGACACCTTGGATTTTAAATGTCATTATTTAGACTTTTGCAATCAAATAATCTTGTTATATAGCTGTTTAGCTAAGATAGCTAGAATCATAGTCACAATAGGCCACAAATACTCTCTCATTTATCTTTTGACCTAAGATTTTCTTGATAGGTAGGGTGTTTACCTTTAATCATGGTTAAGAAAATGAACAGAAATTTCAGTATTGTGAAGTACGTATGGTAGTGAAAAATGGCCTGCGAACTACCATAGCTAAGCGGCCACCTCTTTAGTTGCTTCTAGTTTTGCTAATATAATTCAAAACATGTCGCTAAAAGCTGCACACAAGCGTAAGAAACACATTTAAGAGATGAACAGTTAAGAGATGATGATGGATTAACAAATATGGTAAGAAGAATTATGAATAAGATTTATAATCCATCTTATAGGGTTTTGAACATTTCTTTTGAGTAATTTGAAGATGAGGTTTCATTTAAATACATGTAGACATAGCACATTCGTGCTTCCCTGCCTCATTAGTCACTACGACAAGAAGTGATATCGTTTTGCATTATATTTGCTTTGGGATTGAAAATGTGACCACTCTAGAATGAGGAACTAGGGAGGTGTTTCTATCTAGTTGCAATTTTTAACAAGGAAATGAGGTTAATCTCAGAAACAGAATATTGTAGAGTTTTCACTCGCAGTGACTAAGTTCGAAAAAGAGAGACCATCGACTCTACAATATCAGTTTCGCATCCATTACGTATGCCACATTGAAACACAAAATCAATAAGGTGTGTAAATGGACGCTTTTTTTTCTTTAACTACAAATTCCATTTTCAAGCTTCATTCTGTTTGAATTATCTTTTTCAGCAACCAAGTCAATGGAACATAATGTTCCAACTTCCTCCTTACATGAAACTACACATGCAAGAAGTTGTTGAATCGTACTGTTGCCAAATTTGAAACACATTCATAACTACATAAGACAGCTTTGGTATTCTTCTAGTTTGGCCAAAATATCATATCATCCCTAGCCACTGTAATAATATTGTTCTTATATACGCAAATGTATACTACTCAAGGTTGCATCAAATCGTAAAAAGCAAACATTTCAGAAAGATCGGCAAGAGAAATACCCTCTAATCACTACTATTCTGATGATCTGATCTATCCGACCAATCCCCATAGGCAAAGCCGCACTAACGAAAACAAAGAAAGAAAGAGTTGGATACCTTTCGGACCGGTTATCGAGGATGTTAGTCCATTGGCGATGGAGTATCAAACTTGAAGGGTGATACTACACATAATTTAAAAATGAACTTGGTAGAATAGCGCATTCAAAACACGTCAAATGCAAAGAACCAAACTATAGACTCTCAACAAAGACAGCTTATCAGAATAACTGAAAGTGAAAAAACACTATCAAACTAGTACAACAAGTTCACAACCTATATCAGCAAGATCAAAATCATTCATCGAGATTCAGCAGAAGTGAAAACCATGAAAGTTAAAACCCTCAAGCAGCCAATCTACAATTCAAATGTTAAATATCCCCAAATGTGTTACAATTACATAACTTCATTTTCAAAAAACCAAGTTTTGAACATGAAAGTACACACGGCAAACAAAAAATTTCGGATAAAGCTTTGATTCTATACATGAACTTAAGATCTTTGTTCGTTGATTTGATCCTCACGTTAACATCTCCACATTTCGACTTACTAAGTAATTAATCGAAAAATGAAGAATGTGAAACAGTTTCAATTGAAAAGTAAAAACTCATCAAATATTCGACTTTTTTTTCTAAGAGATATTGAAGCAAAATTAAGTGGAAATTTCATACCTCCTGCAAGGCCGGTCCCAAAATTTTGGGGGAAAAAAATACATTTGAGGTTATTTCAAAATGAGTATGGATTTTGAAAAATAATGGAAAAAACTTTTTTGGTTAAATAATAGAAAATGGTGTATTTCAATATTAAAATATAAGAAGTTTCAAAAAGAAAGACGTATAAAGATGCAATGTAGTCAGAAATTTCCTTTGTACCTCCCAACAATGCATCTCACTCTTAGAAGCTCTAAATACTAATTAAAGTTAAAGTTACTCTACACAGCCATCAAGTAATAATATGTATTTAAACAAATGATAACGGGTAAGTATCCGCTCGAATCAACTAATTAGGAAACCAAAACTCAATAAGTAAAAAAGATAACCAATGCAAGTAGGAACTAAACAGTAGAGAAGAAGTAATATGTTACACCAAGAAAAAAGATGATCGATCAAATCAAATCTGAAACCGTACAAGTCTGACCAACTCTTGGAACAGTGTCACATTTCCATGAGAGGCAATGCCTGAAATAATAATCTAACAAGAAATACTAATGTCATGTTACTTTGTATCCTTAAACAAGTAGAATACGAAGATAATAATCTAACAAGTCAATATTAAAGTCCCTTCTCATCCTTCTATAACTACCCTATGATCCCTATGGCCAGAAATGTACGATCTCCGGTGATGTTCAATGTCCTGCGTTTTAATTTATCCACCCATTAAGAAAGAACACATTGATCCACACGAAATCGACATAATAATATAGGACTTAAAACAGGGAAAGGGACGAATAAGGATAGATGAAAAGCCCTCCTTCGACTCAAAAAGGTCGCAATGGAGCTTGCATCCCTCTGCATCGTCAACATATGTATAATGAAGGGAAGTCAATCATATAAAAAGAGAAGCCAGCATCACAAGCATGTATGATTAAAGATTCGGAAATAAAAAATGCCTAACATATAAAGCCATCCTCAACGAGACCAATGCTTTTCTCTTGAAACCTCAAAAAAAAAACTCAAGTATTTTACATTATCCAGAGAAAGCCAACAGCAATAGGAGATAACTAGAAACAACGATTAGTAAAAGCATGAAGACGAACAAGTCTGAAAAGAAATGCTTCAGCGTCCTCTACATACCAGTGATAAAGAAAGCTAGTTCATAAAATATGCCAACAAAATCAACTTAAACCCTGCAAAAGAAGCAGCCTCATATAGTCGGAAATCAAAATAAGAAACTGGTAGCCCAAAACCATTCCTCGAGGCACCCAATCACAACAAAACACAACAAAAGAAATCATACAAATGCAACAAAAGTACAAGACTTGCCAGTCTACATAATTCCACAGACCTATACTGCTATACATAGACAAGAAATTTATATAAAACCAGAGACAATCTCAAACACAACAAAACACAACTGAGAGAAAAAGAAAGTTTAAAATTAAACATATGAACCCACGAAGGACAGAATGATCTACACGTATCTAGAATAATCAACACCCTATAACCAAGAGATGTAACACATAACCAAGAGGTATCTAGAATTAAACCTATGAACCCACGAAGGACATAATCAAGGCTAGCAAGTCTGAAAGCAACTTCTTTTGCGTCTTCCACATACTTATAATACTAATAAGTAATTTAAATATAAAGACAAGCCTCCAACAAGAATATGTGACTATGATTTAGACTCTAAGCAAAACATTTAGTCAAAGAACATAAACAACCAAAGAGAGTTCAGGAAACAACAACTATTGCAAAACAATCCTCCAAAGCAACCTAAAGCAAGAGCCAAAATATGGATGATAACCTAACACAAAGAAGTGAACCCACATAATCAAGAGGCGAAGAAACTGATGTACAACTACTTTGGCCAACTAATCACAAAGAGCTTCAACATCACATTATCTCGCTGAAGAACATTGAGAAATGTTGAAAATTCTTAGAGTATTTTGTAATATTAAATCTACAAGTATCTAGAATCATCGACACCCTATAACCAAGAGATATAACACATAAATCAACCAAAACAGCTTAGATATCAAACAAATGAAACTTTACCAAAGACAATCGCTTAAAAACCAGAGAAACAACGGTGAATAAAATAAATAGCCGAGTCAAATCTAATGGAAACCATATTTAGGCCACAATTCAATAGAGGCCAATGTTACAGAATAAGGACTTCCCTGCAACAAAAGTTACAAAAGAGAAACTAAAGAGAACCTTTGGTATCACCTTATATCCCTAGAAGGGCACAATATTTAAAGTGAGAATAGAAAAGCCAATAGAAGCAGCAAGGAAAACGAGACAAAGAAAGAAAATATTTCATATCTAAACTTACGGCATGAAACGATATTTATTGGGCCAGCTTGCTATCCCATGAAGAAGTGTTGATACAGATAATCTATAGAACGAAAAATAGTGAACATGAATGGCAGACAAGAAATGAACAGAAAAGTTACATAACAAAGTTTGACACGTTAGGAATGCATATGAATGTGTTCAATGGACCAAGTGAAGTGAGTGATTAAACATAATGAAGTTACCAATCTAGTAGTCTACGAAAACAGAATCATTTGAAAACCAGTCATGATGAGAGAAATCCCTAGTGCTTTCTTCATTATAGAGGTTTTGGAAATCTAGTCGATGAATGAAATTTCATAGTAAAAATCTAATCGATGAATGAAAGATGGATACCAAAAGTGACGATTAGAATTTCGAACGTGATCAAACCTTTGGCCCTTTTACTAGTTCGAAATAATCTACCCTGGCATGTGTGCTTGCAATTCTCTGAACTTTTTGTGCCTGCAAACAAAAAAAATCCGCCACACTCATTAGTTTAGAAATATACATTTTGCATAAACAGAGAAAAAACAACGATGAAAATTTCACCCTCAGGGATTCTCAGACACAAACAGGTCAGAACAGAGAACATAATTCCTTGGAACTTCAACGATTTATAAACACACAATCGAGAAGATAAGAAAACAGAGGAAACACAACATATAGTGCAAAATATATAGAGCAGGGCAGAGCTTTCACTTTCCAATAATTGCAACAAGCACAATTATTGATCACATACAAAAAATTACCTAGAGAAGTAGGAACCTATCTGAATCTAACAAAAAAACAAATAAAAGGATACAAATGAAAACATAACTATCTCATAAGAACTTAATCCTAGGAAATGATGAAGCTTAACAAACTATGAACGCACCTAAAGCCATAACCTAAGAGGACCAGTGCTTTCCTCTTTACGATGCGAACCTCAAACAATCTACCAAAAAAACATAAGAAATTAGCATTAAACAGAAAAATGCTGTATCATTCTGTAGAAACGAAACTGAAAAATGGCTAGTAATAGAATCAATTTAACAGTTTACTTCCCCTTATGATTCTCTTAGACCCTTGATGCGTTTGTATTCAGCAAGCACTTCTCTTAGACCCTTCATTCTTGAAAAATGCAAAATATTCAGCAAGCACTTCTCTTAGATTCCTAAAAAGCAAGCCAACATTGAAGTCATTTTTCATCCTTGTAAAACTACGGCCATAAATGAGGTGACCTTTGGTGATGTTCAATTTCCTGCTTTTCAATCAAACCCTCCCATCAAGAAAGAACCAATTTTTACCTGATATACACAGACAATATAAAACAAGAAGATATTAAGAGATAATAAAAGCCCAAACAAAGCTCTATGATATATATGATGAAAAAGCAAACACAATAGGAAATAACTAGAAACAATGATTAGTAAAAGCATGAAGACGAACAAGTCTGAAAAGAACTGCTTCAGCGTCCTCTACATATCGGTGATAAAGAAAGCTAGTTCATAAAATTTGCTAGCAAAGTAAATTTAAACCCTGCGAAAGAAGCAGTTTCATATAATCGGAAATAAGGAAGCAAGAATAAGAAACTAATAGCCCGAAAACATTCCTTTAGGCACCCAATCACAAAAGAAAAAAAGCATATAAATGCAACCTGAACAAGACTTGCTACTGTAAATACCACAAACCTATACATAGACAAGAAATTCATAATTTAAAAATTAAACCTATGAACCCATGAAGGACAAAATGATCAATAACAAAAAGAAAAATCTATGATATTAAACAACGCAAACACCTTAACCGTAATGCAATAATATACCATCAAAACAATAACGGGGAACAAACACAGATTAAAGCTATATATCCCGCAAGTCAAATCCTCATTTTCCCCATTTCCCACAAACCTATACAAAAAGAGCCACCATCACAAACATCAAAAAGAGTCAGAGAAGCCTCCAACAAGAAGAAGTCAGTATACAAAGAGAAATAAATAACTGTATAACCAATATTAGAAGCGGTTCTGATATAGCATGTCACTCCTACTTCGTCAAGATAGCTGCATCAACTGAAAATTTGATAGTCGGCAGAATTTGTAAGACACTACTCTCTATATTCTTACACAGCCTATTGTCATCTCTAAAAGTGTACAACAATTCCATGGGAATAAACACCATAGAACAGGGAATGAAAATTAAGAAAGAACACATAATTTTTAGAAAGAAAAAAATTCTCACATGCATCAATCACTCAATAGTTTAGAAATTTACATTCTGAGTAAATAGAGAAAAAGCAACGATGAGTGTTTTATCCGTAGTCGGGTTCTCAGACACAAACAGGTCGAAACAGAGAACATCCTAATTAACCTAATTCCTTTGACCTATGACAAACAATTTTTTTTGATGTAAACATTAAGATTAATCTAAAATGTCTTTCTTGGAACTTCAACGAATTATAAACACACAATCTAGAAGAGAAGAAAACAGAGGAAAGCACAAACATATATTGTGAGAAATAGAACAGGGCAGAGCTTTCACTCTCCATGGTTGTAACAAGCATAAGTATTGATCGCATACAAAATATTATGTAGAGAAGTCGGAACCTATTTGAATCTGACAAAAATAAAAAATAATAGGATACAGATGAAAAAACACACCTATCACATAAGAACTTAATCCTAGGAAATAATGACGCATAAAAAACTAGGAACGCCTAAAGCCATACCCTAAGAGGACCAATGCTTTCCTCTTTCCTATGCAAACATCAATAATCTATTACAAAAAACATAAGTAATGAGCATTAAACAGAGAAACCTGTATAATTTAGTAGAAATCAAGCTAAAAATGGCTAGTAAGAGAATAAATTTAAAAGTTTACTTCCCCTTATGATTCTCTTAGCGTTTTGATTCAGCAAGCCCTTCTTATGAAAAGTTACACTGAGTCTTGAAAACTTTTCATTCTCCAAAGCAACCTACAGAAGTCAGCAGCACAAATTCAGACAGAAAGGGTCTATTGTAATGAACAGCGAAAACGAGAACATGGTGTAGTTACACATATCAACTAACCCGCAAATCGTGACAGGGAACTATCAAACTTTCAACACAGATCTAACAAACAATTGGACACCTATGATTTCGGGGATAAAGATGAAAAAGAGCTAAACATGATTGCCAAACTAAGAAATACTCTCAACATTTGCATCAGTGAGTATCGACTCATTCCCGAATTAGAGATATTAATCTTCTTTTGCTTCAAAGCAACTTGAAAACCCATGTATTCTGCCACATTAGAGAAGCCCTGCAGAGAGATGCAGCCATTAACCAATGAACCATCATAATAGCTACTCACTGCAACAATTTATACACTATTTGTTTTACCTCAAAAATTTGTTTTATATAGGAGTTATCTGGAGGATTTGACACACGGATCAATAGTTCATTGTCCCAAGAACCAACACTGTTTAAGCAAATGGCATAATCAACTGCTCTCACGCATCCTCAGATCAAGGCTCTTCAGCCACTGCAGAAGATATAATGCTTAATGAAGAATACCAACAAGTTTGCAAATGCACCAAACAAAAAATGCAGGAAGGATTAAGGTCTAGTTTCGTAGCTGTTAGTGCAAAAAGTAAATTGCAACTTCCTCTTGTCTTGGGATTTGAGGACAGAGCGGAAAGTAGTCTAGCCACTTCAAGAAGCAACACGACCCCACTTCCATTGCTGTCACTTCCAACTAATAATGCCTACAAACACAAGTTAGTCAGGTACATACTTGATACTACCATAGAATAGTCGATGAAAGTAAGCAACTGCGACAAGAATAATAAGATGATCCACTACTCATATTACATACCGGAGCTGCCCCGAAGGTATCATAGGATGCAACTAAAGCAATAGTTGGAAGCTGGTTGGAATCTCCATCTGCTCTTGATCCTGGAAGACATCCCTACACAGAAACCAACTCCTCTCAGGCTTTCTGTATGTCTCACATCGAAAATGAACTAGCACAAGAGAAAAGAAAGATGGTGAGAGCACATATCCAGATCCAATGAGTAACTAACAAGGAGCGGGCAGATCAAAATTAGGATAAGTTATAATGTTTAACCTTGGTTCAATGAGGGAAGTGTACACCAAATTCATTGTTACTGAAAATATGGAAAAGCTTAGACTGTTCATATGGAGATGATGAAAGCAAAAATGACACATTGCAGGGAAATTGGACATTAGGATGCGGCAATGCATGCTACCACAAACCAGACCGTTAGAGTTTAAAAACTGAGGTTACCAAAACTGAATTAGATAATAATTGAAGACACGACAAAGAAGGTTGTGCTACATTTCATAGATATCAAAGCTAGTCATGAAATGATGAGAATGAAATTAAATTCAATGCACTTACTTGAATGTTTTAGATGGTAGAAAATACAATTTTCTTAGGCTCTGATACAGAGATAACAAGCTTATATCTGAAGATAATCACGGAAAGAGATAGTTTACGTACATACTATCTCTTGAGTCAACCAATTTAGGAATGAACAGAGAAAACCTGAAGACCATCAAAAGAGAAAAAACAGAGGAAGTTTTCTTCCACTCCTCTTTATTCCATAATGTTTGCAACTCCTAAAAAGGTCAAAATTGAAATTGCACTTAGTAATTGGAAAAGCCAAACATCAAGTAAAATATAATTAAGAATAGGCAAGAGAACTAGAAACACAAAAAACTTTGGTAACTAGTGAAAAAGATGAGAGCGATGCTCAGTCACAACAATGAAGTTATGCTTCCATCTCCTGAAAAAAAATTGAAGTTAGTAATTATTGAATATTATTACGTAAAACAAAATCAATATCTAGGAGCACCTTTACCAGGACTAGTTTCGTAACATCTCTTTCTCTTCAATCCACAAGCGAAGGAAGAAACAAAGCAACACACTCTCTACCTTTCATGAGTCACAAAGGTTTTGCAGAGCCTCAGCCCTACAGATAATGGGAAAGCGAAATAAGTCTGAACGGAACTCATGAACTTTAGCTATCGGTTACATTTATTCAAAGTTTTAGTGAAATTTTTTTGTCATAAGATTCAGGTACAGAAATCTGTAAGCTACTAGAGACTGTACATACCGAGCTTAGTTCTGCCATAGTTCTTGCTGTCCATACCTGAAAAAACAAAACCAATGATAGATTTTTCTACAGAGAGAGAGAGAGAGGCACAGATAAATCGATTTGATCCCCAAAAAACTGATCATCTGTAACCTGAAAGAACCTCATCAGCTGTATGGAATTTGGAGAGACTGATTCTTCTAAGATAAAGTTCTCTTTCGCCACAAGTTCCATGACCTTGTAAGAAAACAATAGAAAAGAATGGTTATATAAACTCTTGAAAAACGAAAGTATATGTCTCTCCCTTACAGTTGCTCTGGTTTTGCCAGGGAGACAGTAATCTGCGTGAGGAACAAGAACACAGACAGTAATCTTCACCATGAACTGTATAACAGAAAGTAAATTTGTTGACTATATGAGAACTTGAACCTTGGAAACGATGCTTAAGAAACTAGAAACGCCTAAATCCATACCCTAAGAGGACAACTGCTTTCCTCTCTCCGATGCGAACCTCAATAATCTACGACAAAAACATAAGTAATAAGCATTAAACAGAAACAATGCTGCATCATTTTGTCGAAATGAAACTGAAAAATATTAAAAGTCGAAGGTTTGGATAAGTTTGAGAAATCCATGACAGGAAACCTCTTTGAAAATTGGAATCAAAGTCTTAGCTCTTTGCCTTGGTCCTTGGTTCCCACTGCTAGACTGACGCTGCAGCAGAAGGGTAAATTGTAAACAAACGTTTTAGGTATGTTATATAATATATTACAAAAGAGAGGCATCAACATCAGTTTTTTCATCGTCACTTTTTGTAAATGCATTTCCTCTGTCAAGAGGTCATCTTGGTCAAAGTTAATGTATCTATATCAAAAGAAATATTGTCTTGCAGCAACAATCAAAAGAAATAACTTAAGGACGTTCATATGTTTAAAAGTGCAACAAGTTGTGGAGGTTCTTTACCATCAAATATACGGGCCTGCAAGAAGATCAAGTTATTAAACAATCTTCCCTTCAACGAATTTGTCATTGTGCTCGCTAGACGAACTGCTGCTTTTTGATCCTCCTAAAATGGGGAAAAAAAATTAGGTGGTTAAATTCAACATGTTCAAATATATACATAAAGCCATAACAATAAAATACAGAGCCTGCTAACAAAATCCTTAAGAAAGAAGTAGTCAAACCCTTAAATACCCGACTAAAAATGGTTTTGAGCCCTCACAACCCTTTTATATAAGAAAGGTTATAAAATGGTACCATAATAGAGCTTGAACAACAACTAACGTATCTTTTTTTAAAATGAGAAAATAAAAGCCAATAAACAAGTATTGATCAATCAGGTATACTCAGGAAAGGAAACATTTCACAAGTATTGATTCGGCCAACTCCAAGGCACAGCATAAAGAAGTATTGATCAAACAGGTTTACTCAGGAAAGGAAACATTTCAAAAGGATATTGATTCGGTCAACTCCAAGACAAATCATAAAGACGTATTGATCAATCAGGTATAAGAAACCTGTTAAAAAAGAAACAATAAATGAACATCAGAGACGTGATAAAGATGAGAGGAACACAAACAAATTCAGTAAAAAAGGGTTCAAGGAACTTATTTCAATGCGTTAACCAAGTGACTCATGTCAAAGTACTCCTTCATGTTGTCAAATGAATTTCAGATCATGTTGCAACCAAATAAATATTCAGTAGTAATAGTTTCAACAGATATTAAACCAAGGACTGAATAATTAACCACAGGGAGGGAATAAGGGAAACTCTATAGAATAGCTAAACTTACCTGGCGAATGAGAAAAGGGTCACGACTCACGAGTTTCAAAAGCCATGAACTTGTTCAGGTTGAAGAGCATATTGAAAACATTTCCAGAAAGTTTTGATGCTTTCATATCCCGGAGTGTGATGCAGTTCTCCTTCTGAAAGAGTCATTTAACAAATTTATGTTTAGAATAAAATAGAAAAAAACAGAACAGCCAGGAATATGAAAGGCCATCGTATGATTTGAAAGAACTCTTGCCTCTGGTTTAATCATGTCGAATATTTGACATAGGATCACTTCAAAGATGTGATGTAGCCACTTTTCGTAGAAAAACTATATTTCAATTGGAGTGATCACCCCATCTCTCCATCCAGGTCTATGCACTTGAACCTGGAAATGTGGTTTTAACCAATATCAAGGGAAAAACACAAAGCTGCCAAGATCATGTGTTTAACATCCATGGGAGATAGATGACTTATCCTCCTCAGCGAGGATAAAGTATGCAAAATCTTCATAACTCGTCTTCCCCTCAACTTTGATTTTAAATTTCCTAGGGACCTAAGTGAGAAACAACAGAGGTATTTTCAATCAAGAGAATGAAACAGATAATGGGAAAGCAAAACAAGTCTGAGCGGAACCCCTTTTATATCCTCCATGAACATACAAGAGAATACGCCAACAACAAGACGTCAATATGCAAAAAGGAAAAAATAACTGTATAACCTCTGTCAGTTCTACTGCGTCAAGATAGCTGCATCAAGAAGTAATTCACATATAAACGGAAAAAAAAACAATCACAAAGCCAAAAAGTATATTAAAGGAATCAGACCAACATTAATGTCACTCCAGCTGTAACCTTAAACAAATAGACAATAGCAAAGTACCAAAGTAAGTCAGGGCTAGTGAGACTGGAGAGATAGCCAATATGCAGAGCAAATTCCGGCAAGGTGATTGAGCATTAGAAGACTTATTTGAAGCAAGATCCTTATCAATGTACACACTAGCTTCTTTCGTTCTACAACAAAGGACTAACAATGAAGATGCAACATCTGAGTTATCCAGATAAATAAAATAAACATTTAACCCAATGCATTCAAAAGTATCATCTGATGCTGAAATGCCAGTTTTGAGCAATTTTAATGTAGCAACACCATCTTGCTGCCAAAACACAGATATAAACATAATAGAAATATATACAAACTGTAATTTCAAACTTAGTCCATCTTCTAAGATCATTTCACAAAGAATCAAATATACAAATCAAAGAGCCAAAGAATCTGAGCTACGACCACCTAAAGACACAGATCAACTAACAAAGAAAAAGTAGTATATAAAATTATGAAGATGGGTTAAAACAAAAGCAAAACTCAAGAAAGCCATATACATATCACTTAATATCGCTAAACCCCATATCTTGGACCCTTGAAATCAATAAGAAAAACAAAAAGGAAGACAATTTTCAATGGAGGCCAAAAAACTTGCCAACAGAATTGACGATATTAACACAGAGAGTTAGAGCCTAGCAAAGCCTCAATATTACCTTATCTCGCTGGAAAACAAGAAGAACCCAAAATCCATATCCTGGATAATTTAAATCTACAGTAATGAATATTACTAACATTCTAATGGAGAGCCAAAAAACACTGCTAACAAAATCAATGACATAAACCTGGAGAAAGAGGTAGCCAAACCCTTAAATATCTGACTGAAAATGGTTTTGACCCCTCACAACCCATTAAAATGATATCCTCAGCAATAGACATATATCCACGTTGAAAGGGTTAAGCCGTAGCTTGAGTCAACCAACTAGGAACCAAAAAAGTGATATCATATCCCCTGCATCATCTGCATAAAAAGTACTTTCAACAAGTAAATATATAAAGGTAACAAATCCGGAATCATGGAATCAAATGGTTGAAAAGAAACAACCCAAAAAAAAAAAGGATCAGAAGAAACCCCATCCTCCATCCGAAAACGAACAGAGCATAGCCAGAGGTTGTACTTTCGACTCCATGGTTGCAACAAGAAGTACTTCACAGATAAACAGAAAAAAAAAACAATCACGAAGCCAAGAAGTATATTAAAGGAATCAGACCAACATTAATGTCACTCAAGCTGTAACCTCAAACAAATAGAATACACAGATACGAATAAAGGATATTTATTGGGCCAGCTTCCTATCCTCCAAGACACAACATGAAGAAGTGTTGATAAAGCTTCACCGCTGCAGTTATAAAAAAGAGCGTCTAAGTCAACAGACCAAGAACATGGGACAATAGTAGCCATAATTTGCTAAACATGTCTTAGTAATAAGAACCTCGCAAAAGCCAGTTTCTAATACGTTCTGAGCTTAAGATGAAAAGCAGTAAGCACAACTTGTTTCCAGCCATATATGTGCCTTAACCCCTATACATAATTTGATGGCAAGTCAAAGGTTTTGATAAGTTTGAACAATCCATGACAATGAGATCCAGAGCCTTTTTTTCTTCATGAAAGTTCACATGATATGTTAATATCTTCATATTTGTATTAGAAGAATCTATAAGAAACATTAAAAAATTAGCTTAGACTATTTACCAGAGAGCTTGTTCTACTAGAGAGGCATCAACAACAGTGTTTCCATCGCCACATTTGTTCTTATCTGCTACTGTTAAACGCAAAAGCAAGGAAACATAAAACACAACTTTCCCTAGCAAGCATCTAACTAAGTGTTTACCTCCACTATGTGGTGTGTACCAAGTAATATTGCTGCCTTCTTCTGGAAGGAATTCACTTGCACCTGTGTTACAAGTAAACATACCAGAGCTAAATTTAATGATAAAAAAAAGTGGAAGTTAACGGAAGATTCAATGAAATATTACCTCAATCAAGATTATATTGATGGCTTGGGCTTATATATTGCATCAATCTTTGGAAATGAAACAAGCTAAAGCTTCTTTCGTTTGAGTACGCACTACTACAAGAAGAAGTAACCTCAATTCATAACATCTGCGAATTTTGGCCCAGAGAAAAAAGACAAAACTGGGAGAGGCAAACTCATCAATCTTGAAAACATCCAAGCATGAAACTTACCTCTAGTTCACTCGAACATGTAACTATAATAAAGTCTTTGTTCCTAGCGATTTTCCTCACATAAGAAATCCAGCGATAATGAGCAATTTTTGATTCCATGAGGTTGTTGGGTTTTCCAAAAATCTATAGCGAATAGAGAAAAAATGGAAAAGTTCATATGCTGAAGAAACCAACTATCTATAACAAAACAAAATTGGCATATTGTAAAGCATAGAGCTTGCGTAAATAGATAAGGCAACATCACATCATTAATGTAAGATAGGATTAAAATCAAAGAAAGGGGTAACCGTCTAAGAGGTACGCAGAATAAGAATTGATCAAATCATCCTTTGCATCTTTGACATACCTATAGTGACGTAAGTTAATCATATTAAAGAAAAGACACCATCAAGGCATGTATGATTAGAACTTAAACCTTAACCTTGGAAATGATGAAGCCCGCGGGATAATAAAGCCATCTCAGGAGACTAAGCAGAAACCCAATGCAGTTCTCTGTTGGAACCTCTGTGATCCTTAGCAAGAACGTAAGAGTTTTGAATAATGGGGAACGATCATAAATCAAATAATCAAGTCTGAAAGCAACTTCTTTTGCTTATAATAATAAGAAGTAATTTAAATAAAAAGAGAAGCGTCCAACAAGAATATGTGACTATGATTTAGACTCTAAGAAAACGTTTAGCCAAAGAACATAAACAACCAAAGAGAGTTCAGGAAACAACTAACACAAACCCATCCTCCTAAGCGACCTAAAGCAAGAGCAAAAACATGAACGCTCTATACAAAGAACCTAACACAAAGAATTGAACCCACATAATCAAGAGCCGAAAAAAAAAACTGATCTATACAATCACTTTGGCCAACTAATCACAAAAAACTTTCAACATAACATTATCTCTCTGAAGAACAGAACCTAAAAATCCATATCTTGGAACATCAAAATCTATACGTGTCTAGAATCATCGACAACCTATAACCAAGAGATGTAACACATAAATTAACCAATTAAAAAGCAGCTTAGATATCAAAAAAAGAAACTTATCCAAAGACAATCGCTTAAAAACTAGTGAAAGAGTTACTACAGGATTGTTAGCAAATGTAATATGATACCAAAACTATTACTAGCCCACCCTACATGCTATCAAATCAAAATATCGATTCCGAACAAATACTAATAAAGGCATGAAATAAGATGACCTTTTTAAACCTCTTTGAAAACTAATTCATACATATACACCCTGACTTACATTTACCAAGAAAATGCAAGAAACTTATTCACGTTTCTTCGTGCAGTGCTAAGAACAAAAACACAACAAAACAAAAAAAAACTTTCCAGTTTCACTAGAGAGATGGCCAATATGCAGAGCAAAAGTGTTATTTAAAGCAAGATCATTAACACTATACGCACTAGCTTCTTTCTTTCTTCAACAAAAGAATAAGAATTTAGATGCAACATCTGCGTTATCCAATAAAAAAAGACAAACCTGTAACCACATACATTCAAAAGGATCATCTGTTGGTTGTTTCTGAACCGCAGTTTGAGCAATGTTTATGTACCAATACCAGATGGCTGAGGAAAAAATTGATATCAGCATTTTGTAAATCGAAACTGTAATTTCAATCTTAGACCATCGTCTCATGTTAGTGAAGAATCAATTAACCATAAAAATAAAAAGTACAGAGGGAGAGAAACATTGGACCTCATTTGTTTGTGCTCTCTTTGATCTTTACTTTGCTTCTCTCTCGACTTTTATGAAACAGTCAACGTTAACCACCAATCCTATCTTTTCAGCCATCAACTGAAACAAGAGAATGGAAATTAAGATTTACGTTTTGTGCCTAAGATGAAAAGCAGTAAGCATAACAAGTTTTCAGCTAAAGCAGCAGCCCTTTGAATTGGTTCCTGGTTCCCACTGCTAGACTGATCCTGCAGCAGAAGGGTAAATTGCAAACACCCAAGCAAGAGTTTTTCTTTAGCAAACGTGATATCCCATGTATCTGCATAAGAAATAATTTCAACAAGTCAATAAAGGTAACGAATGCAATAAGGAATCAAACAGTAGAAAAAAACAACCAGCAAATATAATCGTTGAAAAGAAATTAATTTCTTCGACTCCTCCTCTCCCATAATGCTTCCAACTCCTGAAATTTTTTTTTTGAAGTTACGCTAGTAATTATTGAATAGTAAGTAACACAGATATAAAATCTAAGAGCACTTTTACCAGGACTAGTCTCGTAACATCTCTTCCTCTTTAATACACATATGAAGGGAAGAAACAAGAAACACACTCTCTGCCTTTAATGAGTCACCAAAGTCTTGCAGAACCTCAAAATCCTACAAAATTTTAACCAGAGATCACCAAAATGGGAAAGCGAAAAATGTAAGAACGGAACACATGAACATACAAGAGAGAATCCTCAATATGCAAAGAGGAACAAATAACTTTATAACCGCTGTTACAAGTGCCTTTGACATATCATGTCACTCCTACTGCGTCAAGAAAGCTGCATCAACTGAAATATTGATAGAAGTCAGTAAATTTTTTTTTTCAGTTAGTGAATGTCATAGATTCAAGTGCAGAACGATTGAGGATGGTTTACCCGTAAGCTACTAGAGACTGTAAATACCATGCTTAGTCCTCCCATAGTTCCTGTTGTCTATACCTGAAAGAAAAAAAACCAATGTTAGGTTTTCTAGAGAAAGAGAAAGGCACAGATAAATTGATTAAATCCCCAAAAAACTGCTCATTTTTAAGCTGAAAGAACCTCATCAGCTGTATGGAATTAGGAGAGACTGATTCTTCTTTCTTCTAAGATAAAATTCTCTTTCATCACAGGTTCCATGGCCTTGAAAGTAAATAATAGAAAAAGATGGTTTATATAAGTTCTTGACAAACGGAAGTGAATGTCTCTCCCTTACAGTCGCTCTGGTTATATTAAAAGAATCAGACCAACATTAATTACTAAGCATCTGTTTAACAAATGGTTACCCTGAGGCGACCGACGAAAATCTGAATGACAGAAGCCTGCTGCAGCTTGAGCAAAAGCTGATGATGAATGTAAAAAGAGAGTATAAAGAACAAAAATCAGATGGATGGAGAATTCTAAAATTAGAGAGTCAAAAGGTGTGTTTTATGGTACCTGTAAACGAAGGTCATATGCGTTTGGATTCCTTCAGATTCCAACAATCTTGCAGCTTCAATACCCTACCAGAGCGATAAGCACAATATTAAGAGACCACTAAAAGGGAATGTTTTGTTATTTGCTGAAAATAATCTTATTTGCCAAGCTGCATGGATTTGAATAGGAGCCGGTCGTGTGGTACATCGATTTCAATGTATAGTCTCAGCAGATCATGAAACATATACTCAAATTATAGTAACTACCTTGCGGATAATGCCATTTGTGTCATAAGCAAGACGTGCATCCACTTCAGTTGAAACTCGACCTGGAACGAGTTTGATAAAATCGCCACCTACTTTGACCTGCACTTTTCTCATCAATAATAAGGGTAAAAAAGGCTTTTAAGAAGCAGAGATCTGGAAGTGGATAAGCAGATAAGGGAAAAGAAGATCAACCTTATTGAAAAAGCAAGAGAGTCCGCCAAAGCCATGTCCACAGCATTCTAGTCATGATGTAAAAATTTCAAAATTAAATAAACATGATGTCATATATTATCATCTATATATCAAAACTCCTGAAAGGCTTACGCAGAAAATGGTATCAGGTAGACCACAGATTCCCAGAAGAAGAGCAGAGCTAACAGTAGTTGCAGTCGGCGGGAACCTGCAGATCAGTAAAATACAACAAAGGTATCAATCCAGCAAAATTAGAAAACCAAAAAGTTATACTATCTCCAAGCGAAAGATAGAATTTCACAATAACTAATTAACTACAGGTTAGAAGTTATACTTGTAAGGGAGTTTTTACATCTTAAGCTAATTTATTTCTTGTATCCTCGATCCAGACAAAAAAAACTCAGTATAATCTCAAGTTAAGAATGTCTAACTCCGATTTTATGATATACCAGTGTAACTAAAGTCTCATGAAGTAGAGATATATATCATACCTCTCAAAGTCATCGAAAACGACTGTATCAGGAACAATCTCATTAAAAGCTGAAACAGCATTTAGCTCATTGTTCTCACCTGAAAAACAAAATTTTCATCAAACAATTCAATGATCATCCAAAAGCATTTCAGAAGAAATAAAGTTGAGAACTTTAAGAAAACCAATATCATCCAAGAACAAAGTTATACACCAAAGACACAATTTGTTTATTCAATTTCAACCATAAATCAACACTGGATAGCTAAGAACTAAAACAACCAGAAGGACCAAAATATGAATAGAATAAATAGACACGCAGATAGGAATAAAGGATATTTATTGGGCCAGCTTCGTATTAGAGCTGAAGCTTTATCAACACTTTTTCATGTTGTGCTAAATACTGAAACCAAGGTGTAGAATGCGTCATTCTTAATACAAACTATACAACATCCAGGCATCGTTTTAAAATTTTAACATTACACGGTCACGAATAGGTAGCCAAGTTTTTGAACAGTCTAAAGTAGAAAAAGCACTTAGCAAGAGAGAAATAAGGTAGAAAAGTACCGCTTCAACGTGTAGTGCCTTATTATTGTGACCTCCAGTTCCAGATGCTTGAATAAGTGCAATTGATTCCATCGTGTAGGTTTCGTCTGATGAACCTTTCTCTGTCATTCTATTTTTGTAACCAGAGCTCAAACCACCCTAAAAGTTAATGTAACTATATCAATTACGAATAGATTTCCTTGCAGCAACAATCAGTAAGAATCAAAAGAAATACCTTAAGGACCACCATATGTTGAAAAGTGCAACAAGTTGTGGAGGTTCTTTACCCTCAAATATACGGGCCTGCAAGAAGATCAAGTTATTCAACAATCTTTCAGTGCTAGTGGCTATTATTTACAATAACAAAACTAGGTACCTGCACTGGTCTTCCCTTCATGTTGTCAAATGAATTTCAGCTCATGTTGCAACCAAATAAATATTCAGTAGTAATAAGTTTCAACAGCTATTAAACCAAGTATTGGATAACCAAAGGGAGGAGAACTCTATAGAAAAGCTAGAATTACCTGGCGAATGAGAAAAAGGTCACGAGTTTCAAACACCATGAATTTCTTCAGGTTGAAGAGTATATTGAAAACATTTTCAGAAAGTTTAGATGCTTTCAGATCGTGGAGTGAGATGCAGTTCTCAATCTGATGTTTTGAATAAGAAAAAGAAAAAACAGAACAGCCAGGAATATGAAAAGACCATGTTATGATTTGAAAGAACTCTTGCCTCTGGTTTAATAATGTCGAATATTTGACCTAGGATATCTTCAAAGAGTACAGGTTCCTGGATTCTACATTCCATGCGATGCAGATGCTCTTCGTAAAAACTGCATTTCATTGGGAAAAAAACACAAAGCTGCCAAAATCAGCGGTTCAATAGAAAGTGTTCTAGGTTCATGAGATCTTGGATGAAAAAACGAGCAACAGATCACTACCAGACATATGTTTTAGTTTCAATATGGGTATTCTATGTTCATGAAATAATGGTACTTCTTAATGGTTAGTGAATTCAAAATCTCAGGTAAACATTATCGTTTCATCAAGAAGGCCACATATGTCACAAGTTTTGGCTCAGTTATACTGTGAGCTAAGCAGCTAAAGGACAAAAGAGAAGAAGGGAAGAGACGTGTACCAATACTCAAGACAAAGCTCAGATGACTTATCCTCCTCAGCTGCTACAAACACAAGTTAGTCAGGTACATACTTGATATACCACAATAGCAAGATGATCCACTACTCACATTACATACCGGAGCTGCTCCGAAGGTATCATAGGTTGCAACTACAGCAATTTCTGGAAGCTGGTTGGAATCTCCATCTGCTCTTGATCCTGGAAGCACAAACCAAATCCTCTCAGGCTTTCTGTATGTCTCACATCGAAAATAAACGAGTCACTAACAAGGATCCAATGAGTAACTAACAAGGAGCGGGCAGATCAAAATTAGGATAAGTAATAATATTTAACATGAGGGAAGTGTACACCAAATTCATTGTTGCTGGAAAATGGAAGATCTTAGACTGTTCCTATAGAGATGATGAAAGCAAAAATGATACATCGCAGGGAAACTGGACTGTAGTCTTCAGCAATGCATGCTGCCACAAACCAGACCGTTTAGAGATTAACAACTGAGGTTCCCAATACTGAATTAGCTAATAATTGAAGACACGACAAAGAAGGTTATGCTACATTAGTACATTTCATAGATATCAAAGCTAGTCATGAAAATATGAGAATGAAATTAAATACAATGCATTACCTGAATGTTTTTGATGGTATGAGATGCAATTTTCCTAGTCTCTGATACAGAGATAACAAGCTTATATCTGAAAATTAGTCACAAAAAGAGATTGTTTAGATACATACTATCTGTTGAGTCACCAATTAGGTACCAAAAAGTCAACAGAGAACCTGAGGACCATCAAAATGAAAAACAGAGGAAGTTTTCTTCGACTCCTCTTTCTTCCATAATGTTTGCAACTCCTAAAAAAGTCAAAATTGAAATTGCGGTTAGTAATTGGAAAAGCCAAATATCAAATAACATAGAATCAAGAATAGACGAGAGAACGAGAAACACAAAAAACTTTGGTAATTAGTGAAAAAGATGAGAGCGATGATCAGTCACAACAATCAAAATATGCTTCCAGCTCCTGAAAAAAAAAATTGAAGTTACGCTAGTAATTATTGAACATTAAGTAACACATAATTAAAATCTAAGAGCACTTTTACCAGGACTAGTCTCGTAACATCTCCATCTCTTCAATCCACAAGCGAAGGGAAGAAACAAAGCAACACACTCTCTGCCTTTCATGAGTCCCCAAAGTTTTCCAGAACCAGAATTTTAAACAAATAATGGCAAAGCGAAATAAGTCTGAACGGAACACATGAGCATACAAGAGAGAATCCAACAACAACAAGTCAATAAGCAAAGAGGAACAAATAACTGATACCAAAACAATTATAATAATAAGAAGTAATTTAAATAAAAAGAGAAGCCTCCAACAAGAATAGTTGACTATGATTTATATTCTAAGAAAACGTTTAGTCAAAGAACATAAACAACCAAAGAGAGGTTAGGAAACAACTAACACAAACTCATTCTCTTAAGCGACCTAAAAACAGAGAGAAAACATGAACTCTCTATAATAAAGAGAACCTAACACAAAGAAGTGAACCCACATCATCAAGAGCCGGAAAAAAACTGATCTATACAATCACTTTGGCCAACTAATCACAAAAAAACTTTCAACATAACATTATCTCTCTGAAGAGCAGAAGGAACCTGAAAATCCATATCTTGGAACATCAAAATCTATACGTATCTAGAATCATCGACAACCTATAACCAAGAGATGTGACACATAAATTAACCAATTAAAGCAGCTTAGATATCAAACAAAGAAACTGATCCAAAGACAGTCTTAAAAACTAGTGAAAGAATTACTGCAAGATTGTTAGCAAATGTAACATGATACCAAAACAATTACTAGCGCACCCTACATGCTATCAAATCACAATATTGGTTCCGACCATATACTAATCACTCTCTCCTTTTTAAACCTCTTCGAAAACTGATTTGTATATATATACCCTGTCTTACATTTACCATGAAAAAAACCTATGCACGTCTCTTTGAGGCAGTGCTAAGACCAATAGCACAACCAAACAAAAAAAACTTTCCAGCTTCACTAGAGAGATGGCCAATATGCAGAGCAAAATCTGGCAAGGTGATTGCACATAGAAAGATTTATGTGAAGCAAGATCCTTAACACTATACGCACTAGCTTCTTTCTTTCTACAACAAAAGAATAACAATTTAGATGCAACATTGGAGTTATCCAAATAAAAAATGACAAACATTATTCAAAAGGATCATCTGTTGGCTATTGCTGGAACCCCAGTTTTGAGCAATGTTAATGTACCAACACCAGCTTGCTGCCAGAACAAAACTGATATCAGCATTGTTGTAAATAGATATATACTGTAGTTTCAAACTTATACAATCATCTCCTGTCAGTGTAGCATCAAACAACCGTAAAAATAAAAGTACAGCGAGAGATTGGACCTCATTTCTTTATGCACTCTTTGAACTTTACTTTGCTTCTCTCCCATTCTGAAACAGTCAACGTTAACCACCTGTCCTATCTCTTCAGTCATCAACAGAAACAAGATGATGAAAATTAAGATTTACGTTTTGTGCCTAAGATGAAAAGTAGTAAGCACAACCAGTTCTTAACCCCTATTTTATTGAACATGTGAACCATAGCCTTTTTCTTTATGGAAGTTCACATGATATGTCAATATCTTCATATATGTATTAGAAAGAAACATAAAAAATGAGCTTATACTATTTACCCAATGAGATCCAAAACTAAACCCATGAAACCATAACAAAATGCTCAAGCAGCCAAGTCAGACACCTCATAACTCCAAACCACTGCATCTACAGAAGAAAGCCACATGTTGCAATTTAGGAGCCAAAACCTATAGTAGAAGCGGTTCTCACTTTGAGAAAGAAAGAGACCAAAACTTGATATCCCCTGTATCTGCAAAACATAGCATCACACGTTGAAAGGTTATCAAAACACTGAACATCAAACCTAAGGACAATTCTATTACGAAACTTCACACAAAACCTTTCAATTTAAGTCTATATACTTGTTAGCTACTTCGGAAGAAAGAAGAAGAGACCCAAAACGATAACGATTATGATGACTGATCAAAAAATTCTTCCGATTCACTTTGATCTCTTGATCTATCACCCAATTAGACTCAGTCACCTGCAATTTACCGGTAGAATCAGATACATACACGAAAAGAAAACCCTAAGATCATACATCAAATTTAATACATAATTAAGAAAGAGAACCAGAAACCCAAAAGCTTTGGTAATTCTTGAGGAAGATGAGAGCGATGATCATTCGACTAGTGGAAACGAACGACGATGATGATGATCGTTTTTTTTTTAACTGCAAAAAAACAAAAAAACGATGATGATGATCGTTTTAGAGAAGCAATTTTCGTCTGAATTAACAAAAGCAATATGGAGATCATAATTAGAGATCAAGCAATTTAAAGAGAAGAAAACAAAATATTTCATAAACTGAATCTCTTTATTCATAGCGATGACGTATTGAAAACTGACGGTGGAGATGAAACCCAATTTGTGAACAAATGATTATCAACGGTGGAAACTAGAGAGTCTGAGATTACAGCTGGTTCGTCTGAGATTTTTTTACCGTTAGATTTCTTGGCACACGTGTCAATCATTATTGCTCTGAGTATCCACAATAAGATTTGTTGGACACAATTATATAGATCTTTTTTTTTTAATTATATAGATCTTTCTTATAAAACAAAGAATTAAAAAAAACGATCTATATAAAATTTATATAGATCTATGAGTAAATTTTATTAAGTTCTAAATTCGTGTGATTATAATTAACTTGTTTTAGTAGTTAATTATGAGTAAATTTAGTAAAAATTAAGTTCTAAATTCGTGTGATCATAATTAACTACTAAAACAAGTCTCGTGTTCTTCATTAACTTAAAAATTTACAGCTATCTAAAAAATATAGTGTAATTGGAGTGGATCTAACCCTACGCTAAATCTAGTAACCTAGTGTTTTAAACATCTGAAAATGAGGATTTCAATTTCTGAAGAAAAGTCTTGTAGAGTCGTGAATACAACACTAATGGGCAACAAATCACAAAATAAATAAAAATACCTTAAACTTTACATTGAGGAAAAATACTCTAAAACTGTGTCTTCCATATGATTAGTGAAGCTAGATCGCTGGTCTAATTGTGGATAATGTATCAGTATAAAGAATAATTTTTCCAACTAATTCTAACTTATATTCATTAGTTTGTTGATTACTCTTTTCATATTGAGAGAGATTAGACATCACGATAAATATCATCTTATAATAATAATGCTGAATTTTTTTTAATAAAACGAAAACTTTTGGATCGACAAAAAGATGATACTCCCTCCGTATTCGAATACTTGTCGTTCTACACTTTTTTTTTTTTGTTAATTAGTTGTCGTTTTGACAATCCAATACAACTTTTGCATAAGACTTCCTAAATTAACCTCAATTAATTGATCACAATTACTCAGTCTAAATTACCAAGACTGAATTACAAATATGAATCGTCAAAACAATTAATTGGTCAACACAGCAAAAATCCCAGAAAACAATTCAACACGTCAACTTATAAATATTGTCACTCTATTGTTCAAAGCAAACAAAAAATGGAAAATCATACAGAAAAATCTCAGAAAGTAGAAGAAGATGAAACAAATAATGAAGTGCAAATCATCAAAGTGGTGCATGCCTTTGATGATAATAAAGAAACAAAACAGGGGGATTTAAAATGCCTTTAACGACAGGAAAATAAACAAAAGTCCTTGTTATCTGCCAATATAAACCAATCAAATCAGTCTCGACAAAATCACTGGAAACAAATAATACAACTGAAGAAACTCTAACACAGCAAAAGCGGTCCTAGGAGGAAGAAAGTTAGACAATCAAATACATGACCCATACTACAAAATGTTCGAAATCGGTCGGATCGAACGGCGATTGAGGAACTGAACTGATTAAAGAGACAAACCTCAGAGACGAAGACGGCTGCAGTGGAAAGGATGAACTGTCTCGGACCCTCCACACGTTTCCGTTCATCGCTTTCTCCACCAGCTCCTCCGCCTTCCTCCTCCACGTGGTCTTCGCCGCAGCCATTTCGATCGCTCTCTCTCGGCAAGGTATGTACTCACGACGATGCTATTATCCGGCAATATCGATGGAAGAAGAAGAAGAAACATCGACGGAGGAGATTGTAAATTAAAGCTAGGAAAAGTGAAATTGACCGGAAGCTAAGCTGAATTTTCAAACCAGAAGTTAAGCTGAATTTTTTTCTTTTGGTCGGTGAAGATAACTCCGAGATAATTAATTACACTGGTTTTTAAAAAAAAAAAAAAAATTGTTATCGTAAAATTCAATTGTGAATTGTTGTTTAGGATGAGGTTAAAATAGTCATTTTCAACTACTTCTTAATAAGCATAATTATAGTTAAAACGACAACTATTCCAATACAGAGGGAGTATTTGTCAGTTTTTGGAAATATAACTATTCCATTAATTATGACACATAATCGTTTATCAGTTTTTGGATCGAACACACAGAAGAAAATAACACTATGATTTTTTTTCGGCATATCCAATAACAAAACTTATCCAATAACAAAACTTAGGGATGTTAAAATGGGCTATTTATCGGATTCAAATCTTCCTATATCATGTCTGATAAGGAAATATGGTTTAATCTTCAAAATCTCTCCCTTGGATCTGAACAGAGTCCACTGAAAATCTCAACTAATGCAAAAAATAGGAGAGATGCGGAGCACCGTCTCAGTCTTATTGTCAAAGGACTTCATCCTTCATAGAATCCAGCCGGAATCAAGGTGATGATGCCAAAAATCTGGAAGATGGAAGGAAGAATTACAAGTCGTATCAATGAAGATGGTACTGTTCAGTTCTTCTTCAAACATGAACATCAACTTCTCACTGTTTTGGAAAAAGAGCCATGGACCTACAAAGACTGGTTGGTGGTAATCGATCGATGGACCAGGAGACACTATCCTGACTACCTTTGAATTATTCGCTTTTGGGTTAAAGTACTAAACATACCGGATGATTCCAAGAATGATAATCTGATTAATGAAGTTGGAGGAGTATTGGGACATGTAGATGAGGTTCATCTTCAGCAACCCACTACCGAAAAAACTGGAGAAGTATGGGTTCGTGTTCCTATTGATGTTACAGGGCGTTTAATCTTTGCTAGATACTTCACCTTTGAAGATTTCGGAGAGCCCATTCTTATAAGCTATATCTACGACAAGCTGCGAAAGTTTTGCTCAACCTGTGGTAGCCTTACTCACCTAGCTGCAAACTGTAATACACAAATCCCCGAAGCAGCCCATCTACAACTTCCAGCTCATATTCCAGAACCAATTATTGAAGACAACTTGCGCAATGAAAACCAATCAGAAGCTAGACCAGCTACTGAAGTAGCAGATGATACGATGGGAGAAACTGTAGGATCATACCTGAATATGGAGATATCGAAAAACCAGGGAAACAATGATTTTCGTGGGGAATTCATGGATTTTATGCATCCAGGGGATGTTCAAGACAAAACCAATGAGACTTTTGCAGTTAGAGAAGTCGGTTCAGCCTCAATTCCATTGCAGACACGAGGAACTAGAAGGAAGACTATACCCACAACTGACGCAGATGAGACTTCTACTTCTAACAAAAGAGCACAGGCTCGTCCTTCAACTCAGGCTAAAGGGGAGGTGGAAACCCCAAAGCCACCACAGCCAGAATGAGAATACTTCATTGGAATTGTCAAGGGTTGAGGAACCCCTTGACAATTCCTTATCTCAAGGATATCAATCGCAAGCATAGGATTGATATCATGTTCCTCGTGGAAACAAAGAATAAAGATACTTATGTACATAGTCTTGGCGTAGAACTCCATTTTGATCATCAAATTTTGGTCTCTCCTGATGGTCTCAGTGGCGGCTTAGCTATATTCTGGCGTAACATGGTAAAATGTGAAATACTATCTCCTCTTACCCTAAACTATACGGATATGTATATTACAAAAGGGAATACAATTTTTTGTCTATCTTATGTCTATGGAAATCCCGAGAGAAAACCAAGACAACAAATGTGGCAAATGATGGAGAACTTCATCAAAGGTGGTTTATATCATAGCAAACCAAGACTGTTCTTGGCAATTTTAATGAGATCAAAAGCAATATAGAAAAGCTAGGAGGTCCCTCAAGACAAGAGTGGCAATTTGCAAACTTCAGGAGAATGTTAACTATCTCTGGTCTCCATGAAATAAAAACTTTTGGTGGTGTCTATACATGGATTGGAAATAGAAGTTCTGGCACCATAAAATCCAGACTTGACCGAGCTGTAGCTACTTCAGATTGGAAGGAAACTTATCCAAAAGCCATGGTTCAATTGTTAGATTGGATTGGATCCGATCACAAGCCTTTATTGTTACACACTGAAGACAACAAATGGAAGGGTAGGAAGCTATTTAGATATGATAATCGTTGGCGACATAATCAAGAGGTACAACAGACCATTCAAGCCACATGGAATCAGACCGGGAGAGTTTCTCCCGGTTGCCCACCAAAAAAAAAAAAGCCACATGGAATCAGAAGTGTAATCATTTGCCTCCCCAACAATTTCAAGAAGCCCTCAAAAGATGTCGCAACAACCTCTCTTCTTGGAAATCTGAACAAAACAACAACTCCCACAGAAAGATTCAGCAGCTCAAAGCAGCTCTTACACAAGCGTATGATTCTCTCTCTCCTGATTATAATTATATTACTACTCTTAAAAATCAATTATAGCAAGAGTATAGGCTGGAGGAGGAGTATTGGCGTACCAAGAGCCGAGTGTTATGGATGCAGGCAGGTGATAAGAGTACGAAGTATTTTCACGCCAAAATAAAACAGAAAAGAACCCATAATCGTATTACATCTATTGAAGATGAAGCTAGCAACATTAAACAAACTGAAAAAGAAATCCAGAACATCATACACTCTTATTTTACTAATCTTTATTCTTCCTCTGGCAGTGATCAACTGGAAGAGGTAATGAAGCATATACAACCGCGGGTAACACCACAAATGAACCAGCAACTTACGACACCAGTTACCGAGGAAGAAATCTTTAAAGCTCTATCTCAAATGAATGTAGACAAGGCGCCAGACCCTGATGGTTTCAACGCAGGTTTTTTCAAGTATCATTGGCCAGCGATAAAATCAGGTGTGATTAAGTTTGTTCAATATTTCTTTGAGACAGGTTATCTACACCCTGAAATGAACCACACTTATATTTGCCTTGTTCCAAAAATCTAATCTCCAACTCAGGTTAAGGACTTCCGACCTATTAGCTTATGCAACATTGCATACAAGTTAACTTCTAAGGTTATGGCAGATAGACTCAAACCATGGTTGCATGATTAATATCAGAATTTCAATCTGCTTTTATTCCACGACGGTTAATCACTGACAATATCATTGTCACTCATGCGCTTTTGCATTCTCTTCGTACGAAGAAGATTAAATCACCTATTATGGCTCGTAAACTGGATATAGCCAAGGCTTTTGATAAAGTAATATGGACCTATATTGAAGCAGTACTTAAATGCCTTGGTTTTGCAGATCAGTGGTGCTCCTGGGTGATGAAGTATATCACATCAATATCCTATTCAGTGCTCCTCAACGGGTCTCCTACAAGAAAAATAATTCCTTCCAGAGTACTTCGCCAAGGGGATCCGCTTTCTCCCTATTTATACTTGCTATGCACTGAAGGTTTATCTTCACTTCTTACTAGTGCCATGCAATCAAATCAAATTCACGGCTTCAAAGCCAGTAGATCTGGTCCATCAATATCACATATGTTTTTTGCTGACGATTCCCTTCTTTTCTGTCAAGCTAATGAAGGAGAATGTGAAAAACTACTCAGCCTGCTTAAAGTTTACGTCAAAGCTTCTGGACAGCATATAAACTTTCAAAAATCAGCCATTATCTTTGGTAAGACTGTTCCTTCTGAAGTCCAACAAAATATCATCAATATGACTGGCATTTCTAAAACAGGATGGTTTGGCAAGTACTTAGGCCTGTCTGACGCAATAAGGAGAAATAAGCGTGATACTTTTGCTTTCATCTCTCAAAGAGTCCAACAAAAACTCCAAAGTTGGTACTCTAATTTTTTATCTTTGGCAGGGTAAGAAGTCCTCATCAAGTATGTAGCCACAGCTCTTCCAACGTATATAATGTCCTGTTTTATGCTTCCTAAACGTTTACTCTCTCAAATTACAGGACAAATTAGAAGATTTTGGTGGTCAAGCTTGAAGGACAAACACAAGATTTCCTGGATAGCCTGGCAAAAAATGATAGCTCTGAAGCAATACGGTTGTATGGGTTTTAGAGATTTAAATCATTTCAATGTAGCTTTATTAGCTAAGCAAAGCTGGCAAATGTTAAAGGAGCCGCAGTTGCTTCTAACCCGGGTTTTACGAGCTAAATACTTCTCCAAAACCTCTTTAATGGAGGCAAAACTTGGTCATCACCCAAGCCACGCATGGAGGAGCATTCTGCAAGGTATGCAACTTATAAAACAGGGTTTAAATGGAATGTAGGTGATGGGAACAAAATCAAAGCTTGGTTTGATCCATGGTAAGCAATCCACCTAGGCCAGCACGTTGTTTGCTATCCTCTCTCCTGATCACTTCCCAGTTTCAGGACTTATGAATTCCACCTCTACCACATGGGATGACACAAAGCTTCAGGAGCTAGTCCACCCAGATGATATTCAGCTAATTAAACAAATCAGAACAAGACTTGTCATGTGCCAAGATACTCCCACCTGAATTTTTACCAGAGATGGTCAGTACACAGTCAAGTCTGGGTATCATCAATTAACAAAGCCAGGTACAGAGCATTCTTCAGAAAATACATCTACAAATGCTTTATGGAAAAATATATGGGCTTTGAATGTTCACCTAAAAATAAAGCAGTTCTGGTGGAGAGTCTTACATAATGCTCTTCCAGTGGCTGGCAATCTTGCTCATCGACGAATCAAGAACCTACCTAAGTGTGTCTTTTGTGGTGAAGCAACGGATACTACAATACATCTCCTCTTCCATTGCCGTTTTGCAAAGGAGATTTGGGAACTATCACCACTTCAAATTGATCCAGGTCAGTTGCTTGAAAATACATTCATCCAAGACATTCTTCAAAAGCTCATGATTTCTAAAACCCATGAGAGCCAGTTATTTTTTTTTTATTGGATGGCGAATATGGAAAGCTCGCAATGATTTATTCTTTGCTAATAGAAGAAGAGCCATTCCAGAAATCATAAACCATGCTCTTATGGATTTCCAATTATGGAGAGATGCTCAGAAAGCTTCTCATATGCCTCTTACGAGGCCTGCACGGAGCAAACAAGATCTTCCATGCGGTTTACAAGAATTTTTTCAGGATAATACTTCTTTTGTTTGCTTTACAGATGCTTCCTGGAAAGATCAACATTCCCGAGCAGGAATAGGCTGGATCCTTTTGAACTCACAAATGAGAAGTATTCTCAGAGGATTTGCATCAATTGAGTCCATACATTCCGTTATGGAGGCAGAAGTTATAGCACTTAGAGAAGCAATCTTCCATCTCCGGCGTCTAAACTATTCCAATGTCATCTTTTGTGGTGATTCCCGCTCACTGTATCAATATCTGGAGAATGCAAAGAAGCTATGTCATCCACCTCCTGACCGGTTAGAGATTCAAACATATGTGGAGGATATTCAAGCACTAGCATTTCACACTTACAGTTTTAAGTTTATTTCTCGAAATGATAACCACATGGCAGATCTCCTCTCTAAAAATGCTCGACTGCAGAATTCTTCACTTACTATCTCTTGGGATTATTAGGTGTTCTTGTATAAATGTTATGAACTCAAGTTGTACTCTGTTTTTTCTATAATAAGAAATGTTGGTCGACAAAAAAAAAAAAATGGGCTAAAACTTTAAAATAAACACATGCCCTAACTCTGACTAAGATAAATGAGAGATTTTCGTGCTGATTTGGTTGGTGTTTTCTTATACGGGTTTGTGTTAGATTATCGAAATTTTGAATTTTGTGTAGCTATGACCTTTCTGATTTCGGATTATGTTGTAGGTGTTCTTAATATTTTATTTGAATGCAAACTCTATCACTGTATTATTTATTATTTATTATTTTTAATTACTAAATAATAAAATATTCATTGTAAAAAAATATTTCATGTTTGAATTAACGGCTTCTATTTTTTTGTTCTTGTTTTTCTGAATCCTAAAATTAAAATAGAAGATTGAGTGAATCAAAAATCCAAAAGAGGTTTCATGGACAAAGGTAAAGATGTTCGGGTAAAAATTATTTTGGAATGTACGAGTAGTGTTCGAAATGGTATTAAGAAAGAATCTGTGGGAATTTCTAGATTTGCACCCATACCTTATGCTTTTCGAATTCCTCCTCCTTGAGTCAATCCTTTGTCTCTCCCTTCAGGAGAGAATCACAAATATCATAAACAACTTTCAATTCCGTCATGAATTGCGGCGTTATCTTTCATCGATAATCTTCTCCGACGATCTTCTCGTTCCAGATAGAAACACAAAAATCAAAAAAGCTGTTTTGAATCGAAATCAGACCATTGCGTCATACTTAAGGCATAAAGAAGAGAGAGTTCTTCAATTTCTCTAAAGTAGGTGGGTGATTTCAGGGTTTTAGAGATCCAAACGGTTACAAAATCTCTATTTCACCTCCACGATTTGAAGAGAGAGTCATCAATT